GGACACTCTCACAAGTGTCCCTCGGCGGGCCCTCGGCGGGCCCCCTCTTAGGGGGCCCGCCGCCTGCTTGGAATGATGAACATAACGACGTGCGCGTTCCACGAGCCGGGCTCGGCGCTCCCGGCGGCCGCGGCGGCACTCGTCCTCGACGCGTCCAGATATCCGTGGCGTTATAGGGGTCCCCCGAGGTCTAATTTAACTGAGTTATCCGTCGAAAACATCGTCCAGATATCCATGGCGGTATAGGGGTCCCCCGAGGTCTAATTTAACTGAGTTATCCGTCGAAAACCTCGTCCAGATATCCATGGCTGTATAGGAGTCCCCGAGGTCTAATTTAACTGAGTTATCCATCGAAAACATCGTCCAGATATCCATGGCTGTATAGGGGTCCGCCGAGGTCTAATTTAACTGAGTTATCCGTCGAGAACATCTCCCAGTGCATGCAAAATATGTAAAATTTGAGAGTATCTGGCAGTTAGATGCAAGCATGAGGCGTGTGAATTCATGCTTCCAGAATACGCGACAACTTATTGGAAGGAACGTTCGCCCATACTTAAAAAAATTAAATACTATGAACGAACTCCAAATTTATCTGAATAAATAATTACATGATTTTCGAGACAGCACAGCAAATATAAGTTGATATTCATTAACATTTAAATTTTTGAGGCTAATTCCGCGTTGTAACTGAGACCAATTCTTGTCCTATAAACTTAATTGAATGTTTTGGGTTCAAAATTCAATTCACCTAGTTCCTCGCACAGCAAGACTGTCCAGGGATTTTTTAAACCGTGTTCAAGGAATCACCGGCAGCACCTCAGCCACTGGCCCCGGAGAGAAGAACGTTATACTTTATTAACTTATTTGTTTCTGGTTTGCCGTCTAAATGATCTACAGGTCTATAATAAGAAGTGCAACATAGTCTAATGATTCTGATAAGAAAGAAGACGTAAAGTAAATTAACGATATCTTTATTAAGAACGTTTCGGAGACCAGCTCCACCATAAGTTCAAGAATTTTATAAAATAATAGTACAATTAGCAGGGAAAATGGATTATACACAAAAGAGATTAAAACCTTAGTAATAAGAAAAAACAACGGAATATAAAAATCTATCGGTTTACACTTTCAAGAGCATAAGAATGCGTTATTAAGACAAGGTTCCGTTTAAAAATATTGGATTTTAAAATCCATAAAAATCTGAACCAGCAGAGGTGGGATCGAGAACTCCCTCTCATACCCATTCATGTCGCAACGTTCAGAGCGAAGCATAGCAGAAAATAAACTCTAAAAAACATCGCGGCGCGAGCTCAAAAACACGATGAAAAAATTGTATAATAAATGGTAGTAAAACGGCGATTTATTGCAAGTTAGTATGTGAAAATTGAGCCAAACTGGCAATGAACGACAAGATGGTGTAATTTTACGGCCACTAAAACGTCGGCCAAGCCGTTTTTTGCCTTTTTTTGTGAACAGTGCGGCCACTTCAGCCGAGAGCAAATGAATGCTTCTTATAGCAGCTAGGGATCGAAGAAACGATCGGTTTATGAGTATAAAGAATGTTGGATCTTTGTTCTGGGGATAGTTCAGAATGAAAACGCGTTGTAGATTGTAACGGTTTCTGAAAACAAAGTATGAACAATTTGAACACAAAGTTGAGGTTATTCGAAATTATAAACAATATAGAGAAAATAATCCGAGGTTAACAAGCAATAAAATGATCATAATAAAAGTATGTGCTCACGTACCAAATTGCCGAACAATCTAGGGCAAGTTTGGTTAAAACTGAATTTTGCCTGAGCTCGTCAACTCTGGTCCTACCTAAAAGGTCCCAGCCTTATGTACACGGGAGAAGTATGTTCCGTAAAATTCTTTCAATGAGTACTTCATTTGAACTTGGAGGTCTGAATAAATGATACCTACTTATATTGTCACTTTACTTTTTGGTTGCAGATTCTCGTAATTTAAAAGCCGCATTGTTGTGATTGGTGAATATTAATTTTTAAGTTTCATTGTGACTTTACTTCAACCTGTATTTTTTAATTAATTTATTTGGCTTTAAAACAAACGTGTACGCAGTAGAAAATGTCCGTCAACATATTTCAATCTCTTGAACAACTACAACAACGGGCCAGACACATAAAGTTAATATAGAATAGATTTTCCTTGATTTTCTGTTCATTAATCCTACTGCAATCAAAATTACATGTTTACTTTCCAGTTTTAGCGTTATTCGTTTTTTTCTAAGATGACAACTACGCATCACCGCTGCAAGATAAGATAAACGAGGTATTTTTTATTGATAATAACCTCTCAATTGCCTCTTTATCCACGGAGAATACCATGTGGTCAAGCTGTCTATCAATGATGAGACATTATATGATGCACCGTAGCCTTAATTACACGTTACACTGACACTATTCGTCCTCTACAGTGTGCAGCGTACTGTACAATGTACTCTACCGGGCCACACACACGAGATTGTAGCAATAAATAAAACTCGGTGTAGGTCAAACGGTACATGGTTTATAGCAGGCTTCAAGCGTACTGCTATATGAACCGTTGCAGTCTTCATGTATTCAAAAAATTTATAGATCTTGGTGCCTGGTAATGAAACACTTTCTTAGCCAAAGCCCAAATTGAAGGCGGATGGATGTAGCGCTGATACTTAATTTTGCCGGGCAAATCTGGGTCAGTATGACCCACGCAACAGCAAAAAGTGTATCTGGGTCAATATGACTCATGCACACAACCGCAAAAAAGTGTATCGCCATTCGTATGAGACGTCTCTAATTTCTTTCAGTGTGCTCGGAAGAACGCCGTTTGACGTCTAAAGCGGCGCTTTAGCGACCGGTTTCCCACTGAAATCTATTATTATTATTCTACGAAACATTCATTGTGGCGTCTGGTTCAAACGAACTTCGAGGGCACATTACACACATGTTTAATAGCAAGCCATAAGTATATAGACACGAGAAAAAATGACACGAGGTAAAATTGACTAGAAGAAGTGAGCAAATGAATGCTTCTAGTAAAAATTGATAAGCGCAACGAACATTTAATTTGGAGGTGGTATCGAAAAATCTTAGTTAGTTCTTCAATTCGGCCGAGGAAATTGTGGAATTGCGAAGAAATGTGCCGTATTAATTTCCTGTTTTCACCGCCACTGCACGGTTATCGACACCTGAGCTCATTCTGGACATTTTTGATTTATATTTAGGCAAACAAGGCCTGATACGCAAACAAGGCATGTTTAAGTAACGTTTAATCTCCACCTAACAGTGGAGAATAAAATTGAAAAAACTAAAGACTCTATATATTCCCTCATCAGGAGCCTCATTCTTGTTGTGGTCTGAGATTCCAAGTTACGGAAATAAAAATAAGATGTTCACTTTTATCATAATTTTTGGTGAATACTCACGATTAGGCCGACACAGAGTTGCAGACTATGATCACAATTTATTTTGAATCTAATTAATTCAATAAAACCCTCCCGATGCAGGCGTTCATTCATTCTGACGAGGAATGGACACTGAGGAAAATTAATTAACAATTTTATTTACTGTATAGGTACGACAATTATGCATAACTGAAAATTGAACAATAATTTAATATGACATTAAGTGAGGCCTCACGTTAGGTAAGGCTCGTAATTTTTAATGATTGTTAAGCCTATAGGGCTATAAGCCTATAGGCTTAATTAGGCGAATTTTTCGAAATTCAGATTCCCAAGATTTTTATTGAAGGGTCATTTGAAACCATAGTTTCGGCAGGTATGACATGAGAAAGGTTAGGTATCTACTATAAATATTGACATAAGAAAAACAATAAATAAGCAAAATTAATTCCAAGTAAACCATGACAATTTCACGTCAATTTAATTACGAACGACTAACAAGTTGCAGCACTAAGTCAACTCACCGAAATATTACGCCACTAAGACAAATACGAAGTGCAAGTGACAAACTTACATCAGGTAAACTTCGGACGGACGACTGAACGTCTGAACTAAAGGACAACGTGATGCATACCTGTTAAATTGCGATTACAAAGATATATTATGATTTTATCAAAGATATTATCAATGTTTTAGAATGGAAAATTAGAAGAGTAAATCTCATATCAAAAGTATTCTGGTCCATGCTATTCTGCCTTATCTCGATTAAAAGTCACTTTTTAATAGCCATATAAGTGAGACACTGATATCGCATGCTTGTTCAATTTTGAGCGAGTTTAATTAAGTTCCAACGGAATTTCCCGTTTAGACTCACGTGGAGTCTAATGTGAGTTTCAATATTTTTAGTAGATGATGAAATGAAACAAATTTTTCTCTCAATTTAAAGGTAATTATCCTTTACGGGAATGTGAATGGCCAATACGTGTTCGTAATTCACATAAATCGAACAGAATTCTTGTGTTCAAGATTCCGATACATCGGATATAATTCGCTTAAGTACAAGTTACGAGGCTACTTCTTCTCAAGCCCTTGCATTCGTTGATGAGATGTTTACATGATTGTTTACTCTAGAAGACATAGATATGAAGCCTCGATAATCAGGGCTGCAATCTATAAGTACATATACATATAATGTCCAAAATGAGTTAAGATAGAAATGTTGATCGGAACATTTTCCCATTAATGTTACTCGTACTCAAGATGGCTTTCAACGGTACTTATATTATGCCACTTTTAAATTTTTTAGCCATCAGTGTCACAACTCAAGTTGCCATTAATCATGGCACCTTGGTTTAATGGGGAATATTATATAAAACAATGGTGAATATTAAATATAATATATTAATCACACAAGTACCCCTCGTTTTTTCTTTATTTCATTGTCTCACATCGTCTACATAAGGCATATGTAAACCAGCCCACGATGCCTGAGTGGATGAGAATGAATATAAAATTTCTTAAATTAAGAATAAGCATCGGCCAAGTCTGAATAATTCAGACATTTATTGGCACGCAAAATATGATTTTTTAACGTTCATAAGTTGTTCATAACAGATTAAATATTTTCAAATTCAATTTCTAGATCATGTTTCTCGAAATTTTATTGCTCGTCCTCTTGTTGGCGCTGTTGAGTTTTCTCAACAGGAAGCCTTCGTCAATGCCTCCAGGTGAGTCAAAACTATCTTAATTAATTCATGATTTAAATGAGCTCTAAGGCAACTTTGAAAGCAATGAGCTTCTGGCAACTGAAAGTAATAACTGCACATGAAACTCGCATACACGTCAACGTAAGAATTTATAGTTGAGAACCTCTGAAAATATTCGTACCTGACAGACATAACACATGGGATCCACATTCACGACGGCTTTAAGATCAAAGAATGCAGCTTTTAACTCCTACACAAACTATAAAGTGAATAAAAACTATAAACTATAAAGTCAATAGAATATAATGGCTATTCTCAGCTTGACAACTAATGAATTCTAATATGCATAATCAAATTTTAATTATTGTCTTACATTCCGGTACTCAAATTTAGATAAACACAAGAGCTTAGATACTGCATTAACTTATATAATTAAATTAAATAAACTTGATACTCTTTATAGCTCAGAAATGTATTAAGTATTGAAAGAATCGTACATCAATAATGCATGCATAATCAATAATGAGTTAATAAACGCACATGCTTGATATTCCTGAAGGTTCTTTTGGGTGGCCGGTGATCGGAGAGCTGCCACCAAGAAAGCTGTCCCTTTCTGAGCACATGAAGAATCTGAGCCGACGATATGGCAACATCTTCACGTGAGTTGCAGGCGACATGGCAACATATCGCCGTCATTTTTCCGGTGGTCTGGTTTTATCATATCGTGATTTGCCCCCGATATGACTAAATCTTCACGTGAGTTGCCGGCAATATGGCTACATCTTCACGTGAGTTGCCGGCGAAATGGCAACATCTTCACGTGAGTTGCCTGCTGTATGGCAACATCTTCACGTGAGTTGCCTGCTGTATGGCAACATCATCACGTGAGTTGCCTGCTGTAGGACAAAATCTTCACATGAGCTGCCTGCTGTATGACAAAATCTTTACGTGATTGGCTCTCATTCCAGAACGAAGTGGGGCGCCCGCACGTTTGTCGTGTTCGCAGACTTCGACCTCATCAAGAAAGCCTTCCAGCATCCAGACTTCCAGGGGCGGCCTGACTTTTTCTCCTTCAAGCTCCTGCAAAAATTTGGACGAAGAGGTTAACAAGTGTTCCTTTCACGTCTAAAGTAAACACGGAATATTTTTACATGATAAGGTTGATATATGCATAATAAATTTCTTTTAGTGACCGCACGCAAGCCACACATCGGTTCCATGTAATAAAAGTTGGTTATTCGAATGGTGACAATCGTAGCCCGTGCGGATACAGAAATAGCATTATATAAAACTGTAATTTTATACATTAATAATTTATAAATGAAATCAGTCTAGACTAATTTTGGTCCAAGTGAATGGAATTTGTATGTATTAGCCGTGATATTCATGGTCGGTGCAGACACATAATTAAAATTGTATATAATGATAATTTTATATTTTAACAATTGATTAATAACTATGCTAAAGACAAATATCGATCCCGAATTACTGAAAGCTATTTGTTTCAGGCGTGGCATTTACGGATGGGGCGGAGTGGTCCGAGAATAGACGCTTCCTGCTGCGGCAGCTCAAGTCCCTGGGGATGGGCAAGACCGTCCTGGAGGACTCCATCCAGCAGGAGGCGTCGTTGCTGGTGGGGCACCTCGAGAGGACCTGCCTGGACAAGCCTGCCGTCATGGACTGCGCCATCAACACGTCTGTTGTCAACGTCATCTGGCAGATGTTCGCTAGTAAGAACTGGTCTACTGACAACCACTGATTTATTTTTCAATTTCACTAAAATCAGTGAAGAATATCAAGAGACTTGTATGTAGATGGAAATTTTTATAATTTTAATGTTTCTAGACGGGCTTATTGTTAGAGGAATGTCGAAAGTTTGAAATGCATTAACGTCGGATAACGCAGGAATATATAATATACTCAATTTTAAGTAAAATATGTAAAAAGTACGTTTTTCCATCGTTTAAACACCACCATGTCCACCTGTCCCTCCCCGACGTCTGGTATCTTCGTTTTTGTAAAGGAATGCTGACATGGGCCACAAATTAATCTCTTCTCTTAGCTCCGGAACGAAAGTCTATAACATGCGAGCTCAAACATCCTTCTATCTTATTCTACATGTTGCGCTGGACTACTGTTAACTGGTCCAGCTCCGTACTATGTAGAGTGGCGAACTGTTGCCTACACTTAGTATCTTCGGCATTGAAGAATAAGCCTGGATAGGCCTGTCGCCGATTCTTTTACTTTTCTTGCTGGACTGGCCTTTTGATCAAATCTTTTCAACGGATGGTAGATTTAAAATTGCTTCTAGATTCCAGTTGTTCTGTAGGATACGAGGCATTTTAAGACTAAGCATATGCTCCTGCATGGCCTTGTCTAGTCTGTTCTTGAACGCATTCATACTCGGAGCGTCAACAATATCTTCAGGAAGGCTGTTCCACATGTCGGTGACTCGAAGCGAGAAGAAATGTTGTCGCGTGGATAAGTTGCACCGCAGTTTTTTTAGTTTATAGCTGTGGCCCCTGGTGTTGGTTCTTGTTTACTATACTTCGTAAGTATTTACCCAGCATTGCCTAACCTCTACACTTAACCACGCCCCTCTACCCCTTATCGCCTCGAATGACTGAGCTCACACAACTCGTACAATTCTGAACTAACTTTATTCCACACTCACGCAATATTAACGAACAAAGAGTTAGTTACTGTAACTGAAAATTTCAGCTGTGTGCTCTAGTTGCATGCATGCCAACGCCGCAACTATCAAGGCCATGCGTCGGGATTATCTTTTTGTGGGATGGTCGTGTGGTGCAGAGGCAGGTTGACGCAGTGGCCGAGTAGTTGAAGGCCTCTAGAGTGAATAGTCCCACTAGTGCGACATCCTTTAGAGGAGAGGCTACACTTAAAACTATATTGAGATACTTTATCCAAATGGCGAAGCACTTCTTACCCTTGTGTGGGCCATCTTGACCTAGTTTTGTCCAGTAAAACGACGTATCTGTGATACATGCAGGATGTCTGTCAGTATCTGGACAATGTGATCCATTCATTTTCTAAGCGTACGTTTATTTGATGTTTCTTAACGTTAACCTGCCGGACATCGGCTTCTCGTTTTGTGTCCTTCTGCTCATATTCATACTGATTTTTCCCTAAAAAAGGTGAAAAGCCTCAGGCTCGAATTCTCTCAGAACCGCACGCATTTCTGCGCCACTTAAAGAACATGAAAAAAATTAAAGCGATCACTGCTCATTGGCAAATGTTTGTCAGTTTTCATGTACAGCTGGTAATGTATTCTACTGGACTTCGTAGATCGTCTCTTGTTTATATACATTGTTTATTCAACTACCATTATATACATTTCAATATTAGAAGAATGATTACGAATTTAGCATGTATTTTATTACGCTTAATATTTCCCGAGGTACTCGCTATGAAGTGGGGGACTCTGAGATCGTGAAGTACTTCGAGGATATGGATGTTCTCATCGACATTGTACAGAAAAGAATGTTCTTTCTGGATATCTTTCCTGTCTTGACGAATGTGCTGCCAAAATTCATACTGAACATGTTCGTGGATGTGAAGCTCGCTGAAAGATACCTCCAAAAGTTGACTAGAATGTCGGAGGTGAGCTGCAAAGCATTGAATTACTGGAGATGTATAACAAACAAAATTTATTCACAAATTGAATTATAGATTATTATGATGTGAATACTCAAAGAGGTTACTGTTACCTGGGCGCTTGTAGATGATGAAAAGCAGCAACATAAGCAGAAATGCCATCAGTTCTGCCGAGACGACATATTAGGCTTTGAAAACCAATTAGAATCAACATTAGAAATAAAAATCTATACCTGCTTTTCATCGGATTCAGTTCAGACTATGACCCACACAGGACAAAATTCGAGAACATCTGGCCTCCCTGGACCCAGGCAACCCGCGTGACGTCATCGATCATTTCTTGCTGGAAAAACCTGACCGCGACTCCACTGGCTACCTCACAGAACACGACGGTGCGTGGGCTTTAAGGCGAAGGTACTGATGATGGCTAATGATGGATGATAATAGCTAATTTAATTTTTAAATTTATATTATTCTTAAATTAGCCATGAAGCTGTATTGTTTGGTTGCAGCTGATCAACTGCACGGCATGATGATAGAGATGTTCATGGCTGGGTCAGAGACGACGTCATCTACCTTGCGCTGGATGGTCCTCCTCCTGACAATCTATCCTGACGTGGGTGCCCACTGTGACGTGCTCTACCCCTCGTCACCACTGTGACGTGCTCCACCCCTCGTCATCACTGTGACGTGCTCCACCCCTCGTCATCACTGTGACGTGCTCTACCCCTCGTCACCACTGTGACGTGCTCCACCCCTCGTCATCACTGTGACGTAGCTCCACCCCTCGTCATCACTGCTCTACCCCTCGTCATCACTGTGACGTAGCTCTACCCCTCGTCATCACTGAGACGTAGCTCTACGCTTCATTTATATTACGTACAACGGTCCATCAGTTCTGTAAAAAACTTTAGCCTTAATTTAATTAAGGCATCGTGGTTTATATGTTATTTAGTGACAGTTGTTTTCGTCAGAGTTGTTCAAATGTTAGTTTTCTCGAATTTATACAGAAATGGAAGGCATAGTCTATCACGGGTTGGGTCAGTGACAAATATTGAATTTTTATTATCATTTATTTATGTATTTACACCAAAGATGAAAATGAATTTTTTATTTTATTTATACCGTAAAATTTAATAGTTATTTACTCTTTCAGTATTCATTTTAAATTTTGATCAATCTCATTATTTTAGGTACAGGCAAAGGCACAGCGATGCCTGGACGAAGTCGTGCCTCTCACTCGCCTGCCTTGCCTGGCTGACAAACCACAGTTAGTGAATAAATCTTTTATTTCTTTATTATAAGCTTAAATTAGTGTATAACTATAGTATAGTTTTGCTGTTTTCTGATATGTTACGCTCAAACACTGATAAGCAACATTAGTGTTGTATGGAGTTCATTATAGAATATTGCAAATCTAGCAGTAATTTGTATTAATTATAAAATATCATGAAATTACTATGCATTCAGCCATTTATTCCAAGATCATGAAAAGCTACCAATCGTTCCGTTAGAAAATATGTGTGCAATAATTCTAGGTTAATTTCCAAAAACTTGATTGCCTAGGCTAGTCCTAGAGACATTTTATCAGGAGGCCTCAAAGCGAAGCATATCATAGATTTTAAAATAACTGCGACTTGTGTCGTGCGATTTCATTATAAATTTGAAATGTGTAGAAAATTTTCATGGCTCTCAGAAGAAAAAGTTGTCATGACACCATATAGCTTCACGTTAGTTAACCTACATTTGCGGCTCTTTTCATGAAATACAATGCATTAACAATGCTATCCTCGGCTATTTCTGACTAAATTAGGGCAATAATATGCATTTAAAAATTACTTTTTAAAGACAACACTTCTAAAGAATTCAATGTCTTTGTTGTTACACATGTACAATGAATTTCTAATTTTATTTTCATATATGAAAAAATAATTAAAAATTTTTTCAGTATATAAAAATTTTCTGAATTTTCAAAATTATTTATTCTGTCAACTGATTCATGCATTGTCTCTGACTTTATGCAAGTGTGCAAAATTTCAGATTGATTGGACAGGTAGAAGTGTGTTAAATATTATTATAAGATTTTCAGCAGACAGACAAACAAACAAGAAGTGAAGTTAAAGAGAAGTGTTGTAATAATGGATTAGCATGGCTATTTTCGGTTCTTTTCATGATTGAATAAAAACGATTATCGATTAATAAATCTGTTATATGAATGATAAAATGATAATGTGCCCGCAGACTGGAGTACGTAGACGCGATGTTGCTCGACGTTCTGAGGCTGAGCTCCCTGGTGCCCACGTCCCTCATTCATGGCTCCACCTCTGACGTCGTCTTCGAGGGATACAATATTCCTAAAGTTGTTAATGTGTTGTTAATGAATCACAATAATAGCTACAATATTCCCAAAGCTGTTAATGAGTTGTTAATGAGTCACAATAATAGCTACACTTTTCCAGAAGTTTTCAATGTCTCAACAATAGCTAAATTTTTCCTAAAGTTTCTAATCAGTCGAAATAGTAGCTACACCATTCCTAAAGTCTTGTTTAAATATTTGAAGTGCACAGCTTTTGCTTTGTATCTGAGCGAATTGATTTGAATTGAAACCCTAAGGAAGTGAATAATTCGTTTGCAAAACTTAATTGCCTGTCAGGGTACCTGCCTGCTGGTGTGCAGTGAACTCTGCCAGAAGAACAAGTCCTTCTGGGAGAAGCCCGACCAACTTTACCCTGAGCATTTCTTGGACGAAAATGGAAAGCTGGATGGCAAGAAAGAGAACTTCCTGCCTTTTTCAATTGGTACCTTAATGCTTTTATGTAATACTTGATTAATGCTTCTGTGAAGGTTGATATAATTGAATTTAGTTTTTTTCCGAGTCTAGCGAGAGGTCTAGTAGATTAGATCTGAAGTTGTAGTTGATCGAGCAAACGTGGTTTTTGTAATACCCAATACTTGATGCTCAGCTTTGTTTTTTTATCATTACCCTATAGTTAATAATCAGTTTTTTTTGTTATTACCCAATACTGAATAAAAACACCAAATTAATAAACAATATCGCCATGACAGGACGGCGGCAGTGTTTGGGAGAGTCTCTGGCGCGCATGGAGCTCTTCCTCTTCGCGACGGCCATCTTGCAGAGGTTCAAAATCGAGGCTCCAGAGGGCGCAAGGCTCGAGCCAAAAACTGACCCTTTTTCGACCGTATTAAACCTTCCGGTTAAATTCGAAGTGGTTCTCCGGAAAAGGATTTGAACCGTGGATTTTTGGCGAAAATTAAACTCTTCGAGTTTAAATTGATTCTCCGAGGAAGGATCAAATGTTGCGACCGTACTTAACCATCCGGAAAAATTCAGAATGATGATCAGGAAGAGGATTTAATCCGCCTACTTTGTTAGTCAACCTTCCTAGTCTAAATAGGTTCTGTAAAAAGGGATTAAGGTTGTGAAATTCCATCAATCTAATGCACTTATAAAAAACTTTTGAATTTTTTCAGGGTTCGAAGGAGTTATCAAGGATCGAATTGAAATTATTCACTATGTTCATCTGAGAATAATTTTTGTAAAACTCTGTAGAGGATATAACCTTAATAATTGAAACAAAATATTTCATCGTATGTCAAACTTTTCAGATTTTCTAACCTTCATATGTATGTATATCCCACATGGAGCCATGATGTAAAGTGTGGTTAAATTACCTGGTTGTAATCGAGGCCTATTCAATAAATAAAGTAACAACCATTTATCTATAATCAAATAAAGGATAAATAACAACGAGCTAATAACGACAACGATAAATAATACTAAATTTTCAAATACAAATAATAAACCGTTAGTTTCCTTAAACCAAAGTTCCAATAAATCTTTGACTTGTCTTACCAAAACATTTTTTATATTCAAGATGTGGCTGTCAAGGCCTCTGTATGGCAACATTCTAACAACTGACTTTGCATACCTAAATGCGGTCACGTCAGAGATAACGTAAACCTAATTGAGAAATAACAAATATCCTACAGAGAAATAAAGACATCTGTACTGCAGTAAATATCCTACAGAGCATAAATAAATATAAAAAAAAACATTTTAAAAAGCACGTTTTTCTGGTCTTAACAAAACTAATAATGATGAAATAAAACAAATAAAAACTTTTAACAACCACGTTTCCTTTAATGGACAAAAAAAGAAAAACATTTACCCCTACATAACCTTAATTAAGTTATGTAAAATGTTATGTAATGTTATGTAAGAGTAAATGTTTTTCTTTTTTGTCCGTTAAGAAAACGTGATATTAAAAGTTTTTGTAATTGTATTATTTCATCATTTTTAGTTTTGTAAAAACCAGAAAAACATGGTTTTTAAAAATGTTTTTCTTATATATATATATCTATTTTCTACTTTTTAGTTTAACAATTTTAGCAATTCAAATCAATTTCTAGGGTTGGCAAGTCTGGATGTACGAGAAAAAACTCGATTCCCAACCGTGAAATTTTAATTTTTTTCACTTTTTTTATTTTTTTTTCAAAAAAAAATTTAAATTATTACTTCTGATGATCAAATCTTGAATTGTTTAAGCAGCATAAGCATGCATGCCAAATTACAAGTTTTTAGGATGTCCAGAAGAGCTTTAAATTAAGGTCTGAATTTTTGATGACAGACAGACAGACACGAAACGAAGCTAAGAAAGACGTAGTAATAAAGCTATATGTATTGCAGTAAATATCCTACAGAGCAATAAAGCTATATGTATTGCAGTAAATATCCTACAGAGCAATAAAGCTATATGTATTGCAGTAAATATCCTACAGAGCAATAAAGCTATATGTATTGCAGTAAATATCCTACAGAGCAATAAAGCTATATGTATTGCAGTAAATATCCTACAGAGCAATAAAGCTATATGTATTGCAGTAAATATCCTACAGAGCAATAAAGCTATATGTATTGCAGTAAATATCCTACAGAGCAATAAAGCTATATGTATTGCAGTAAATATCCTACAGAGCAATAAAGCTATATGTATTGCAGTAAATATCCTACAGAGCAATAAAGCTATATGTATTGCAGTAAATATCCTACAGAGCAATAAAGCTATATGTATTGCAGTAAATATCCTACAGAGCAATAAAGCTATATGTATTGCAGTAAATATCCTACAGAGCAATAAAGCTATATGTATTGCAGTAAATATCCTACAGAGCAATAAAGCTATATGTATTGCAGTAAATATCCTACAGAGCAATAAAGCTATATGTATTGCAGTAAATATCCTACAGAGCAATAAAGCTATATGTATTGCAGTAAATATCCTACAGAGCAATAAAGCTATATGTATTGCAGTAAATATCCTACAGAGCAATAAAGCTATATGTATNACCGCTGCTTTACGTACACCGCTGCTCTACGTACACCGCTGCTTAACGTACACCGCTGCTCTACGTACACCGCTGCTTTACGTACACCGCTGCTCTACGTACACCGCTGCTTTACGTACACCGCTGCTCTACGTACACCGCTGCTTTACGTACACCGCTGCTTTACGTACACCGCTGTTTTACGTACACCACTGTTTTACGTACACCGCTGCTTTACGTACATACCTAAAACGCCAAAGTTCGCTTTCTTCTTTTGTGTAATTTTGTATATATTCAAGTAGAAATTACAGATGGTCTGCGATAGCTTCAGCGGATTTTTATTCATGTCTTAACGATTACTATAGCAATTTTTCGTTTTATTTCACAAATCTTCAATGCAAGTTAGTCAAACTATCCGACACAGTCACTACTCTTTCCAAATTAACCGCCTTATCAAATAGTTAGCTTTACCATAGCAAGAACTATCCCAGATAACTGCCAGACCTACATTGTCTGCTTTACCGTAGCAAGAACTATCCCAGATAACTGCCAGACCTACATTGTCTGCTTTACCGTAGCAAGAACTATCCCAGATNTTAACGGACAGTATTACTCGTAGTACTATAATTACCGGACAGTATTACTCGTAGTACTATAATTACCGGACAGTATTACTCGTAGTACTATAATTACCGGACAGTATTACTCGTAGTACTATAATTAACGGACAGTATTACTCGTAGTACTATAATTAACGGACAGTATTACTCGTAGTACTATAATTAACGGACAGTATTACTCGTAGTACTATAATTACCGGACAGTATTACTCGTAGTACTATAGTATTACCGGACAGTATTACTCGTAGTATTTAGATGTCGTGTTAACTCTACGTACACCCTGAAATTGTTAATAGATAAGTTTACCGCTTTGTTTTTTGTTTGCAATATTATTATTAAATCAGTATACTAGTGTAATATACTGAGTTATCTGTGTTCAAGAATTTTCAAACTGACGATGGACAAAGATATTATGAATTTTTGTGGAATTTTTAATTATTATATAAGTTCGTAGTACTATAACTAACCCGAGACTAGGAGGGAGTATTTTATGACACGATACCTACATCGTTATAGTTATAGTTATATTGTGTTATCCCTATCCCCTTGATAAATATATTCATTACTTAATTGTACAATTATATCATTATACTAAACAGTGTTATCTATATTGTTTTATCACGCATTCATATTTTCTGGGTCACCGACATAGCATAACTCGGCATAAATAAGGTTCTGTTCACCGATAGTCGTTTCTTAATTACTTTATATTACGAACATCTAACGACATTATAAATAATTCCTGCGCCGGTCATACTGATAATCTTCGCTCTATAGGAGGCCAAGTCTCGAGACTTTTTCAAAAGAACAAAATAATCAATAATTGGTTTTCCGATTTGTAAATTAAATTAATAAAACCATCAAACAATGAACATGAACAATTTATTTAGATAGTGTTATATAATTTCCCATATTCTACTTTGATAACTCGCATGAGGAACTACTACGCTACCTACGCAAAATAATCTACCAACACACACCTTCCGCATTCCAAATTTTATAAATTTTAAACTGAAATGACAATAAACAAATTCCCAATTATAAATAAATGTTAATTGAAATTACACAAACTGCTATAAAATTACCCACGAGCTTTCCCTGAAGCATCAATCTATATATCGTTTTATTGTGAAATAATTTCATAACTAAGTTAACATTTCAGAACTAATGAGAGGCAAACACAATATACAGGAAGCCGTGGCCTACATTTCAGACATTTCATGGCCAACTGCTTCGTACCTGCACGTGTGTTTCTGATAGCCTCACTAGGCGCACGCTATCAAAATTACCTTCCATGGGAGCTGCTTTTTCTTGATCCAGGAATGTCATTTCTGGTTTGACCAGCAGCTGTAGACTCATGGTACTGATGAGTCTACGCACGAGGCTACGTACGTAGACTCATGGATCTACGTACACCGCTGCTCTACGTACGAGGCTGCTCTACGCACACCGCTGCTCTACGTACACCCCTGCTCTACGTACACCGCTGCTCTACGTACACCCCAGCACTACGAACACCACTGCTCTACGTACGAGGCTGCTCTACGCACACCGCTGCTCTACGTACACCCCTGCTCTACGCACACCGCTGCTTTACGTACACCCCNAGCCTGTTTTGGAACCGCTACCAAACGTTATTTATTTAGACTTGGTTCTATCCTTACTATTCTGTGAATGCGTCTGCTCCCTTAAGCTTTGGACCAGTCTTCTTTAAAATAAAAGTTCAATTTGTTTGTCGTTTTGTATAAGCCTAACAACGTACACCCTCTACGTACACCCTCTACGTACACCCTCTACGTACACCCTCTACGTACACCCTCTACGTACACCCGCTACGTACACCCTCTACGTACACCCTCTACGTACACCCTCTACGTACACCCTCTACGTACACCCTCTACGTACCTATATTTCATATAAAGTTGACAAAAACCTGTCTTTATTTCAAGGCCAACAAATATAAGCTAGGACCACTGACCTGATCTCCTTCATTGCATCGCTTACGACACGACCTGTCGGTTGTGTTACCTCTGCACTCTTCATATATGTTAATAAATGCACGCTTCTGTACGTAGTGAAGTAATTCTCTCATGTACAAAAAATTCTTTACATTGCAGCTCATTTTAAGCGTTTGCCCATAACATAGGAGATGAATGCTTAGAGATGATTTAATGCGTAAGCATTCGTAAGTTTATTATGGAACGAATTTTTCAACATTGCTGCATATATTGCACAAACTTTTAACTTCTTCCATCTTATAAATGACAAAACTACGCAAGCATGCCTAGGTAAGTCGTCAGCGATACCTGCGCTGAAACCATGAGTTGAATACCGTGAGTTGAATACCATAAGTTGAATACCGTAAGCTGAATACCGTGAGTTGAATACCGTGAGTTGAATACCATAAGTTGAATACCGCAAGCTGAATACCGTGAGTTGAATACCGTAAGTTGAATACTAGTTGAATACCGCAAGCTGAATACCGTGAGTTGAATACCGCAAGCTGAATACCGTGAGTTGAATACCGTAAGTTGAATACCGTGAGTTGAATACCATAAGTTGAATACCGTAAGGGTACGCACACAGTGAAAGCAGGTTTGCCCGCGCGGGCAACCTGCTCCAACCTGCCACAAGAATGAACATAGGATAGTAATGTAAGTGTTCACAGTGAAAACCTGTACGAATAGGCTTCTGTATTCTATGGTTTCAGGCGCCAGCCTGAGCAGGTAACCAGCACGCTGGCAACCTGCTCTCACTGTGTGCGTACCCTAAGTTGGCACCGTGAGTTGAATACCAAGAGTTGAATACCATAAGTTGAATACCATAAGTTGAATACCAAGAGTTGAATACCATAAGTTGAATACCATGAGTTGAATACCGTGAGTTGAATACCATAAGTTGAATACCGTGAGTTGAAATACCGTCAGTTGTCTGCATTAGCATAAAAATTCATTAATTTCGAAAAAAAAAGTTAAATTATTCAATAATAATTTGACAGCGCGTCTATATTCCATTTAGTCCACCCAAAATATTTTCCACTCGTAGAAAAATTATCAACGTTCCGCTAAGTGCTTTCATTCTCCCAGTTTCCTTCATTTTACGCAAGTTTCCTTCATTTCACGCAAGTTTCCTTCATTTCACGCATCTGCCATCGTGGGTGAGTTATACTCATCCTGCCATCGTGGGTGAGTTATACTCATCCTAGCTGCCATCGTGGGTGAGTCAAGTCTTCCGACTCTAATTAATTCACTAAATATTCTCATGAAAGAATATTGTTTCATTCAATATCAATAATGTATAGATTCGCATGCTCAGCGTAAATGATTTAGGCAAGATAACCCGAAGTTATAGGATTTCCTCCAGCCCTTTAGTTGCAAGGAAATATGAGTAGCATAATGAATTGATATTTCTATGATTCAACAACGATATGCTACTTAGTTTCCTTAATAACCTAACTTAATAATACATTCTAATATAATATAATATGATATAATATAATATAATATAATATAATGCAATATTATTTAATACCCTATGTTATCAATGTTATCACAACACGTGAAGGCTTAATATATTCAATTGGAGGTTCATAATCTAAACGAACTCAATTATCCTCATAATTGCCTTGACTGCAGTGGGCGGCGGTACAGCGGGCAGCGCGGTTGCCGCGCGGCTCTCCGAGACCGAGGCGACCGTCCTGCTGCTGGAGGCCGGGGGGTCGGCGCCCCCCGAGTCCGTAGTCCCGTTCGCCTGGAGCCCCTTGTTGGCCCTGGGGCAGGCCTCCGTCAGTGTCGCCTCCGAGCCTGAAGACAACGCCGCCTTGTCCAGTCCCGGCAGAGTAAGCCATTGCCGCAATGACAGCCTCGGGTGGAGGCCATTCGGTTTGCATCAATACAGGACCTTAAGGTATGGTGGTAAACGAGGTAGGGTGACAAATTAGGAAGGCTTACAAACAAGTAGGCTGATAAACAAAGTAGGTAAAAAAATTATCTGAAAATCGTGACGAGATTATCGCTAGATAATGGGTTCCAAGCGGTGGGCCATAGGTTAACTTTACCAACTTCACACTTAATTAAATTCATATTCCTTTCCGTGGATAAGCTCGTTAGAGCTCATAGCAGCCTATAAAGTCAAGTGTTGAAAGCCATAACACCGTATGACCACAACCACCGCTAGATCATGGTCAATTTAAGCATGGGCTAACCTATATGCACTTTGAAACAATTTTTCGCCCAAAACAAACCTGAACGGACCTACCCTAACCTGATTAACTGTTGGAAGTTAGAGAGGCTTGGCAAATGAGTAGGATGACCCAGTTATTGACTGGGAGAAGGTTTTGAGTCGGGGCAGCGTGAATAGGTTTGGCCAGGAGAGGCTAAGCCAGAGTAGGTAAGGCCAGATTCAAAACTACCTGCTTATGAGTGAAGAAAGTATTGACTGAAGACCTACGGCGCTATCCCCTTTAGGCAGTGTGTCACTGATCACACGGCCCAGGGCATATACTTTCAAAAAAAAAGTTCAGAGATCGTAAGTTCATCAGCCAATCATTGACGGTCTTTCAAGCAAAATCCACCAATCGTAGCCAAGAAAATAGAGCGTAAGTTCTTATGTTCAATTAGCGAGTTTGGAAAGTATGGCCCCATTATTACGGTGTTGCAGCCTGGCCTGCGGCTACTAGCTCTGGGGCTGCGTGTAGTAAGCGCATGCTGACATATTGATGAGGCTCTGCGTTGGCTTCAGGGCTTATTTAATAGTTTAATTTATGAGCCACGGCTGCACCGAAAAATATTTCAGATTCAGTGTAAAAAGAGAAAAGTTTAAAGTTGCATCGATTTACAGTGAACTTGTAACAGATATGTTGTTGTTCCGCAGAAAAATATTGCGTACTTCGGGCGAGTGATTGGCGGCGGCTCCACTGTCAACGGCATGTTGTTCGTGCGCGGCAGTGGATACGATTTCGATTCCTGGAAGGATCTGGGCAACGAAGGATGGGATTACCGTTCAGTTTTGCCTTACTTCAAGAAACTTGAGAATTACCAAGCAGAGAGAACACCAAGTAAAGGTACATATTACCTCATTATCTTCGTGTTGATGGGCAAGGCTATTGGCAAAAAAAGTTCAGGCAATAGCTGGACTTAATGCCATAGTCTGATGTCATGTATATGATTCATTCAAAATTTCCTCCTATAAAATCCCTGACCTATAACAGCATTAAACGAATATGATGATAACATTTAGAAAATATATCTCAGAACAACTCAAATTACAGTGAATTAATCCCTACTTTTTATCATTTCTGAGCAATTTTTCTTCTCCAGAGACCACGGACGCAAATTTCGAGCGTAATTGTGACGGTAAAAATAGAAAAATTGCTTGTTCAGGAATCTTGATCGCACAGCCCCAATATATGTTATCATGTCACTGGGGAATGATTGACAGTAAAAAAATCAAATGAACATCCCAGCCAATGGGAACACATGGGAGGAATATCCAGTGTCCTCGCAAGCCTCTAATTTCACGTGGTTATGTTGGGGATCGCGTGATGGATGCTCAAAAAAAGTCCTCGTCCTAGAAATAGAATTTTATTTCTAGGATCCTCGTCCAAAGAAAAAGTCCTAGAAATGTAATTTTAGGTTTTTAATCCGCGGTACAGTGGAAACTAGAGAGCACTGAGCTTTTTTGTGGATGTTTTGGATTTTGCCACGTGTTGGCATAGTCGTTTCTTCTGTCAAAAATAATCTATGAACTGAATTTCGTGAGGTTATTCGGAAATATATTGGATCTCATCTATGTAGATGATTAATGAACAGAGTTGTAATGCTTGAAAATTGAGGTGGTTGAGAATTTAAAGGTGTGAGTATCAAAATTATTTAATGAAGATTAGTGAGTAGAATGTACAAAGCAAACAGCAAGCTGTACAAATCATGTAATTTCTAGAATCAGAATTAGCAACAGCCAAGTTAGCCTCATCTACGCGACACCATTACTATTACTATTGCCATTACTATTACTATTACTACTATTATTATTACTATTACTATTACTATTACTGTTACCATTACTATTACTATATACACTATCACTATCACTCTTACTATTACTATTACCATTACTAATACTATTACTACTACTATTACTCTTGCATAAGTTACTGTGGCAATTCCCTTTCACAAAAGTTCGGAAGCTTGAATTCTCGGACTCTACTTCGTTCATCTTACTTCAATTGTTTAGTTGGCTGTCATATTAGTGCAAACGTTCGAATAGTAGCTAATAACTTTGTTCGTTACGACTAAAATTTTACTTTTCCGCCAGAGAAATACCGAGGTTTTGCGGGCCCAGTTTCCGTCTCCCAAGTGCAGCGGTGGGGCAAATTGCGCTCGGCTATCAAGGCCGCAGCTGCCGAACTCGGTGTCGCCTTCAACACTGTGGGCGGCAAATCCAACATCGGTCAGTGAAGCACCGGTGAAACCAATTACTCTGCATCAGTCACTTAACGCAGTATTTATAACTAGTGTGACCTATAGAATCTAAAACTTAAATCCTAACAAAATTGGGTTAACGTGTTGGATTATTTCCTGAAGTCGCTATACAGTCGGCTTCAGTTATTCTGGGGTTGTAATTGTCCACCCGATCGAAATCAGCCCCTGGTCAGAAGCTCATTTATAGTGTCCTGAAAGTAGATAACTGCGTCCTGAGAGTGAAACTAGTGTGTCGTGAGAGTATGACAAGGGCTGGCCTGGCCGAGTCATACCTCTCCGCTTCATAGAAGCGGACATTAGCGGCTGATTTACGTACTTCCCGAGTCCTAGGCGGCACCTGTTGCTGAATCGGGTCTGGATATCCAAACTTTGTTAGGGAAGGGTCGTTGCTCCAAATATTACGAAGAGCTCCAATTATAACGACAGTACAAAAGTTCCCACACTGAATATGTAGTACAATTCACCAATCCCAACTTAAATTAACCTGCTATTATACAATCTTTTAACTAGTTGCGCTGTAAGATTATCTTTTATACGTCCAGGCATCTCGTGGGCTGATTGCGTGTGTGGACAATCACTCGCCAATCATCACCGCGTGAGTGGACAATCACTCGCCAATCATCACCGCGTGAGTGGACAATCGCTCGACAATCATCATCAGGCGAGTGTGAATCTCTGACCAGTTTTACGAAGGCGTCTGCAATCCCCTGCTAGTGGCGGCAATCATTCATTGCATGGTGTTGATTATTGCTTACTTGCTGTTGCTTTTATCAGTTGGTGGTTGAGATACGATACTTCATTCGATACTTCATTTCACTCTCGCGAAATGCTTTTCACCAACTCGCTTATTGCAGATCACCTTTGACCAGCAGAAGCGAGCTCGTGGAGTCGAATACAAATTCAAAGGACAGGTGAGTCGTTTAATAAACACGACCTAATGAAAACACGACGGTTATACTCATTGTAAACACGACGGTTCCTCGTTGTAAACACGACTTATTGAAGTATTAAAATCACTTGACTGCTTAAGTCGCAAGTTTATCAAAAATTTAAGGGGAGCGTCTGGGGTCAAATTTATCTCGGTTATTTACAGACGGATCGATTCGAAATTTGGTATACGTATGTAAAACGAAATTCTAAGACTTTTTTATTCGTGTAAATTTTTCAAAAAAAATGAAGGAAAACGTAAAATTTATAGAAAACGGCCAAAAAAGGGGTACTTTAGAAAACCTATCTCCTCCTAGGATTTTAAAGCTACAACATCGAAACACATATCATTCGATGCGTGAAGACCATATCTAAAAAAGTGTGTATGCGTTTTTTGAAATTCTCATTTTTGTGGGTGTGGAAGCATTCTTTATAAAGTTTTCGGAAATTTTTCGATTTTACCCCCCGCCCCCCCCCTTTTTGCGGAATAAAATCTAAACTATAACGAAATTAGAAAAACGCATACACACTTTTGTAGATTTTTTCAAAATCGAATGGTGTTTGTCTCATTGATGTAGCTTCAAAACTCTAGGAGGAGATAGGTTTGGCGTGAGAGAGGTTTTCATGTTTTCAAATTGTTCAGTAAAGGCGGAAAACCGTGGCGCGCTATGTAAAGGCACGTAACGTAGCTTAAATACCGAAAGTAAGCGTTAGCTCACTTCAAAGTCAGTCAGCAGTGCAGATGATAACTTTATCGACACCTCTCCGCATGATATCTGTCGGGTAACTGATCTGTAGGTCCAGCGACAGCATATTTATAGAGCTTAGCCGTAATTATCTCCATAGGATTTTGTGAAGGGACCCCACCACCCTCCCCCCTTTCGGGATCTGTCGTGAACGCATAAATCAACGCACAGAGATGGTTCTAGTACCGTTCGATGTGGCAGAAAGTAAGCTTTAAGATGAGCATAAAAACCGGAAAAGCCAAAAATTTCGACTTTTACCCCAGACGCTCCCCTTAAAAGCAAAGAAAATAGCCAGAAAATTCACCATTTCTTAAAAAGGAAAACGTTTCGGAGACCAGCTCCATCATCAGTTCAAAACCTAAAACACAGGTATAAACAATTAGCAATAAATTCACATTGAAGCATAAATCGTCAAATGAGAAACAAACAAGAATGAAGCAAATACGAGCACAAACCTATCTATTTACAATTTCGAGGGGATATGAACTGTTAGCGGCATTTAAAATAGGCTTTTGTTTAAAAATATAAAGGGACTCTAAAATTCGCAAGTCGGAAACACCGGTCGTGGAGGCTAAAATTCGAAAATCATTATCGGACACTGGCACGTTGCACTGCTCGGCATGGACGCGTACTGCTGAATGAGGGGGATGCGCAAGCAGGTTTCCTGTTCTAAAACTCCTTCCTTTATACTCCGCTAGCCTAGTATAAAAGTTACGAAATGTCATACAGACATACGTAAATGCGCATAGCGCACAACTATATTGATAAACTAGGGACGATCGCATAGGAACAGGGAGTGTGTCTTTATGCCTGAAAAAAGAACTGATTATAAGATTATTCACTAGAAATACACGAAGATTTATATTTGGGAGGTATTTAGAGAACAAACCTTTCAACTCTTTAGCCATAGACTCAGAAGCGGGAGTCTATGGCGGGTGGTAACGCTTCTGAGTCTAAGGCTAAAGAGTCGAAAGGTTTGTTCTCTAAATACCTCCCAAATGTAAATCTTCATGTATTGCTGGTAAATAATTTTAAAATCAATTCTTTTTTCAAATATAAAGACACACTCCCTGTTCTTATGCAATCGTCCCTAGTTTATCAATATAGTTGTGCGCTATGCGCATCAGCGTATGTCGGTATGAAATCTCGCAACTTTTATACTAGGCTGGCGGTACATAAAGGAAGGAGTTTTAGAACAGGAAACCTGCTTGCGCATCCCTCTCATTCAGCAGCACGCGTCCATGCCGAGCAGTGCAACGTGCCAGTGTCCGATAGTGATTTTCGAATTTTAGCCTCCACGACCGGTGTTTCCGACTTGCGAATTTTATAGTCCTTTTATATTTTTAAACAAAAGCCTATTTTAAATGCCGCTAACAGTTCATATCCCCTCGAAATTGTAAATAGAGAGATTTGTGCCCGTGTTTGCTTCATTTTGTTTGTTTCTCATTTGACGATTTATGCTTCAATGTGAATTTATTGCTAATTGTTTGTGCCTGTGTTTTAGGTTTTGAACTGATGATGGAGCTGGTCTCCAAAACGTTTTCATTTTTAAGAAATGGTGAATTGTCTGACTATTTTCGACTTATTGAAGACACGACAGTTCCTCATTGTAAGCACGACCTATTGAAAACACTACGCTTCCTCATTTTAAACAAGACGTTTATCAGAAAATAAACGACAGTTTCCACACAAGCACACACGCACCCTTCATAGCGATACATGGAAGTTCTCGATTGTGACTTACATATGTCGATTGATATCAGATTATTTGAATAAGAGAAAATATCGTTAGGTTTAACGCTGAAATACAAGGCGCCCAAAATATTTGTTTGTCGGGAATATGGCTCCCGTTAATATGGTCCCGGGGCCCTTTGTAGTGCAATTTAATGTAATGTATTGTAATATATTGTAATGTGATGCATTGTAATGTAATATAATGTGATGCATTGTAATGTAATGTAATGTGATGCATTGTAATGTGATGTATTGTAATGTGGTCCCGTTATCCCTACAGACTCACAGAGTCATGGCCACGAAGTAAGTGGTGCTGTGTTGTTTGTAATGTAACGTAATATAATTTATTGTAATGTTTTACCGTTATCCCTACAGACCCACAGAGTCGTGGCCACGAAAGAGGTGGTGCTAAGCGCCGGGGCGCTGTTCACCCCCCAGCTTCTCATGCTGTCGGGGGTTGGGCCCCCCCAAATGTTGACAGAGAAAGGGGTGAGTGAACTGCATTACAGGGGTTAATTAATTAATGATTGGCGAATGGAAGGGGCGTGTAAACTGCATTGCTGGGGTTAATGTTTGGTGAATGGAAGGGGTGAGTAAACTGCATTGCTGGGGTTGATGATTGGTGAATGGAAGGGGTGCATGAGCTTCTATTTTATCGTAATTTTAGAATTTGTCGAGTGCAATTTGTATTTGATGTTTTGGTAGCCCAATATTAAATAGTGAGCTCTAAATTTTTGAGCGCAACTCATTTTCGTAGCCAGTTTACCGCCAGTATCTCTTCTTTCGAATCGAAATAGATTTTCGCGGTGGCAAAATTTAACATTGAAAGCAACGATAATAAATTCGATCGATAATTAATTCGATGGTGGCCCAGTGGTTACAGTTCAAAGTACCAAGATTGGAGCAGAGAGGCGCGGGTTCGATCCCAGCTCTGTGCGACAGTTTCTGGCCAAAATCGGCAAGGAGGCCGGGCGGTTTTAAGCACATCAAAATTGTAGCAGTGAGTTGCGAGTTCGAGACCGTAAAATGCTGTAAATGTTCTGTGATGTTAAGAATCAGCGACAGGCCTACGGCCTAATAAGCGCTGAAACCGCTATTTTAATAGTATGAGTTTGGCTTCGCTGGGCAGATCGAAGTGGTTTCGGCGCTGCCTGGCGTGGGCCAAAACCTTGACAACCACCCGGGATTTGGGATGCAGTGGCGGGTGAAACCTGGTGTCACAATATCTATTAAAGATATTTTCAACCCGAAAACTTACATCGAATACAATTTAAAAAGAAGCGGTGGGTGGCATTTCTTGCGGATGTACACGAGTTCGCACAGAACGCTGCAAACAATATTTTTGAGTTTTTCCAAAAATTTTTAGAGTGAGACATTTTCCAACCCGTATAGCAAATTGATTTGAATTCAACTTTAGGTTTAGTTTTTAATAATAATAGAGTTTTCGTTGAAAAATGATTTTAATTTACTTCTAAAATGTCAAAAATGGAGGGTTAGTTTCTGTAGTTTAAGCAATTAAGTCACAAACTACAATCAAAAAGTCTTTGAAAATTGTTAGCCTTGAGATATATAGAATGGAAAGAAATTACATTTATGTCGCCGTCTGTTCTTTGGATTTTTTTTTATCTGGATTTACTCATCACTTTCCAATGATGTCAGGCGACGTTTAAAAAGAAATTTCCAGATTCTTCGTATCGTTTCGTAAAGACCAGGGTTGGTGATGAAGACGAGGCGCTTGACTTGGTGGTGTAATACGATATTTAGCGTAACAGAGATGACGTCGTTGTGCAGACAGAGACAGCGTCAGTACGCTGACAGAGACGCAGATAGAGACGGCTTCAGTCGACCAGGCACGATATTTAGCGTAACAGAGATGACGTCGTTGTGCAGACAGAGATGCTGACTGAGACGCAGACAGAGATGCTGACTGAGATGCAGACAGACACTCCAGACAGAGAAGCAGACAGAGATGCTGGCATAGACGCAGACAGAGACGGCGTCAATACGCTGACAGAGACGCAGATAGAGACGGCTTCAGTCGACTAGGCACGATATTTAGCGTAACAGAGATGACGTCGTTATGCAGACACAGATGCTGCCAGAGATGCTGACAGAGACGGGAGTTTGCACGTTGCAGGGGCAGGAATGTTCGCCGATGTGGGGTCACTGCGAAATATGGCTATGTTAATACACTATTCACGACACCATTTCACAAGTGAGCAATATACGTATCACGTGAGCTTCTACGGCATGACAAAAATTAATTACTCAAAAATTGCAATGTCTCTGCGCTAACTTTACACTTAACACAACTGAATACAAAAGATATTCTAAGAGCGGGGTTTCTAAGTTAAAGAACTTACGAGAGATGCTGGTAGCTCGATGTGAGAGAGAGAAATGGACGATAGAAAAGAGGAGACCGTAGAGGGAGGGAGGTGCAGGATGTTGCCAAACGGCTGAAATGAGATTTCTTTGGACTATTCTTATGATGATATGCAAATTATTAATGCGATAAACATGATGTTATGGGTATTAATATTAATATGATAAACATAAAATTGGTTCTATGTGGCGAGATCCGCTACAGTACCACACTTTGGTATTAGTAACACATAATTGTTTTTAGTGTATTGTATTGATAATTCGTATCATGTTCTTTGTGTATTGTTATTGGCAATTTGTATCGTGTTCTTTTTGTATTGGTATTGGTAATTGGCATCGTGTTCTTTGTTATTGGTAACATAATTTAGATAAAGAAGAACACGAACGAATTCAGAAATTCATAGGGATGTCAGGATAGGATGTGTGATTACACACATTGATAGATATGATCGAAATTGAAAATATTATAGGAGCTAAAAAGTTTGTGCTTAATTATAGTACACGTGAGTCGTATTTTAACTTATATTATTCAAGTTTTAAAAATTATGATGATTGCTGAAATGTCGGCTAGAATAGTGAATTATCGTTCACGGGCGGCTGTAAAATTACTAACATATATGTGAAGGTAATTATAGATACGTGTTACGCCTCCTGTTAAAAATATTCTTGTCCATTATCTGATTGTTAATAAATATATGAACAGATTTACATTTGGTGCTAGCTTGTATGATTAATAAGGGGACTTACTTATGATAGTAATCAACTATGTACTATAAGTCACAAAATCCTTTACCTACAAGCAGAAAGGAGTATTCAAATAGAATGAATTAGGACTTGATATTTGCATCCCATTACTAGAAAAGACAAACAAGCTATAGGAACACAAAATGTAACATAGCTCGTTCGTGGAAATCTTCTCTGTTGCCTTCTTTGTATTAATTTGAGCTTGTTTAGTTTATGAGATTATAAATTTATCACTTTTTTACTTCAGGAGTATTGTCAGAATCAATGGGGAGCATGGCTCATAATTTTGTGAATCTGGGAGGAGGAAACCCAGACTGGCCTGACCTCGACCTTCCCTGGACGTTGGCACCCAGCCTCCCGACACTAGAGCTTGAAAAAAAGGTGAAAAGGCAACAATTAACTTCTTTGCTTGGCTCTAATGTTTTTTTTCCATATGTTTCTATGGCCTTAATATTTTCTTGATTAAAATTAGGACAATGAAACATACAATACGATTCTGAATAAAACTTATTACTTTTAGAGTAGACGTCATATACATGTAGGTGCGCTGTTGTGAGTAAATTAGTATCCCTTCTGAATCTTTGAAGCCTAAAATGTATGTGTCAATCACGAATTTAAAAGCAAAGAAGACGCCAAGAAAATTCATCATATCATCATTGAATTTGCTTAGCATAGCATAGTGATGTCAGCTCTCAATAATATATAGACCTGATGTTGCTTGTCACCGATTCTTGTACTTTTCGTGACTTGTCCACAGGAGATCTAAAAACAGGCCCGACGACCGGATCTTTTCCAAACGACGACAAGCGATAATGGTGTTTTCTTTGCTATAAAATTCTTGGTGAAGTTGTGTTTTCAACAAAATAATTGTATGTATTCATATGACAATGCCAACAGGCGAATACCCAACTGACGGTACCGCACGTGCTGCGGGACACTCTCGCCACACGCGTTGTTCTGATGCGGCCCCGCAGTCGCGGATTGGTCAGTCTCAGGTCCGCTGATGTGGCCGATCTTCCGCTGATAAGAAACAACTTTTTTCAGGATCCGTACGATCTTAAATTGATGGTCAAAGGTGCGTATCTGTGTAGTATAACAACCTCAGCATGCGACCACCTGCTGTTGCGTTGAGTTCAAGTCCGTTAGTAGACAGTTTAGATTTGAAGAATTAAAATTTCATTAATGCATTCAGCCTTAATCAAATTTGCTGACTCGCCTGCTCTGAATAATTCATAATTCATTTCTTGCTGGCACAACTGATTAATGTTTCAATTGAAACTCGATGCACTCTCCTTAACATTACCGCAGGCATACGAGAGACCTTCCGAGTGATGAATACCACCGCCATGCGAGAAATTTTGCTTCCCCAGCCTGACACGGTGAGTTAATGGCTAATTAATGGAAACTAATGTATCAATGTGGCGGAATATAATAATATTGTTGAAATTGTTCGCTTCGATCTTCTTTACACTCTGGTCCAAGAGAAATAACAGTATTTACAGATAAATTTTCTTTTAGTAAATTTGAAACTGACGTTAAATATATTTAAGATTTAATAAAATTCTGAAACAAGGAATTTAGTGACAAATAAGACAATTAATTCGAAACATTTGAGTGCAGAGTCTTAAAGCTTGCCTGCGGTACGGCCGAGACACGGACGGCTATTGGGAGTGCTTCGTTCGACACGTCGTGGGGCAGGACGCCCACCATTGCTGCACCGCTAAGATGAGCCCCCCCACCGACCCAATGGGGGTGGTGTCCCCCAGACTCCTGTGGGTGAAGGAATGACAGTTCACTAGCAGCTTAATGTTCTATGTATATAAATTAAAGTGAACATACTCTGACTGCCAAGGACCGACTGACCCACTCTCGCTACATGGGACCGAAGGGCCCACTCAGACCTTACAGGTCCGACTGACAGACCGACTCATGGCGTGAGTTCTAGAAAATAAACAAAGCCTCGATTATCCGATTTCTAATCATGGATAAAATATCCAGACTATTTAACTGATTTCCAGCAAAACTTGACATAAATTGAAAAGATTACAATTTAAATAGGAAATCTTCCAGAAGAGTTACGTTTCAAATTAACATAAATGAAAGCTGTCCATTTATTTTACAACAGAGTTCGCGGAGTGTCGGGCTTACGGGTTGTCGACGCGTCGGTGATGCCTCACGTGGTCTCAGCGAACACTATGGCTTCTACGTACATGGTTGCTGAGAAAGCTTCCGACATGATAAAGCAAGATTGGGGATACCCGGTCCAGCAACTGTATTAAGCAAGATTGGGGCTACCCGGTCCAGCAACTGTATTAAGCAGGATTGGGCTACATAGTCCAGCAACTGTATAAATCAGGATTGAGGCTACCAATTCGGTCCAGCCATTCTTAGAATTGGATCCATCAATTGTAAGAACAAAAACCATTAGAATAAACCAGTTCAAGATATCATCCCCTCACGTTATTTTCAGCCCCAAAGCACTGATGCTGGCTGCGTCAATATACAGACTCTTCGGAAAGCGCGAAGTGATATGCATATTTGAAAAGATTGGGCGATCCATCGCAGCAATAATTATTTTCTAGTTTTGACTACAAAATTTGATGGTTCAAGGCACACAAGAACATGCGGGTCAAGGCAACAACGCAAAATGATGCAATAAATTTTACATTTCAGGAATGTTTTTCAATTAGCGGCCAAAGAATTGGTTGACTCTGACTTCACTAAAGTCTTAGTGCACGGATAACTGATGCAATTACCGTCATCAATACCATTCTTATTTAAAGCTATACTAAGTAAAATTACCGTGAGTCGCCAATAGTATTACCACGGACTTTCTATTGATGTATTACCTGTTTATTATTATAATTACTTTTTAATATTATTTAAATGCTGATAGTTGTGAAATTTTTGTATAGAAACGCCAAGGTCACGACGCTGAAAAATCAAGAGTATTGGGCGATGATGAATTAATTGATGTCCCATAATCAAACGAAATATTATTGACCAACGAACTTTTGCGTATAAAATAATATAAAAGTGAAATGAATATTTGTGATCATAAAGCGAGCCCAAAAAATTGATTGAAAAAAAATCATTGATAAACAACAGACAAAAACGACAACAAATTCTTGGAACAGTGAAAACAAATTGAAATGATAATTTTTTTATCTTAGCTCTGTAGAAGATAAAAAATTTCTAGACTGGACCTCACAATTTTTTTACAGGAATAACAAAAGTTAATTGATAGAGAGATAAGTACAGAGAAATGAATGAGTTCGTTAAAGAAGTTATTAAAGAGTAATTAATGAGTTCGAAAAAGAGGTCATTACAGAAAAATTAATGAGTTCGATAAAAAGAGGTTGTTACAGAAAAATGAACGAGTTTGCTAGACAGAAAATTACAGAGAAATATGTATTTTGAAAGAATGGTTATTGCAGAGAAATAAGAGAGTGTAACTGAATGCAGAACGGTCGGCGCGGTGGTAATTGAACATTCCTCAATAAACAATGCATGGATTCGTGCGTACGACGCCTGGAACAAACGATTGAGATCGATTACCGCAGTAATGACATTGCCGTGGTAATATCATTGCGTTTTTTTTTTTGTGATATAACCGTAGAACTATGACTGAGTTTTTTTATATTACCATTGTAATATCAATGCTCTTTTTTAACTGTTTCCTAAATTTTCATGTCAGAATTTAACCTGCGGTTCTTTAATGGTTGAACAAATTATAATTGATAAAAAAATATGTTTTTAGTTCGTTATAAGCTCTCTCAATACCTCGTCTCTATTGATTTAGTCCGAAGCAGGCAAACCAACACCATAAACACCTACCAACACCATAACCACCTACCAACACCATAAACGTCATGTACCAACCAAACCTAACTACCCCCAATTGATACTAAAGCTTTTCTCTTGCACGTGCAAGAAATTAGATAATATCACAAGCGTTGCATTTCAGGGCAAACCACGCTGAGCGAGGTCAAGTGGGCAAGAAACTTGCTTGTCCAGTTCCCGCGTTCGCGCCATACATGTTCGTATTACGTTCCGAAATTTTTTACTCTTCAATTGCCGCTCTAATGAGATTAAGATTTCCTGATTAGTGATTTGAAACTCTGCACGAGGTAGTCCACTTTAAGACCTTCATATATTTAGCGCATTTTCTCATTTATGGAAAAAATGCACTAATGTGCTAGTCATGTCCGTCCGTCTGTCTGTCTGTCTGTCCGTCTGTCTGTCTGTCCGTCAGTCAGTCTGTCTGTTCGTCTGTCCGTGACTTCACGTTTTCGTCGACGAGAAAATGCGCTTTCTGTCACTCACTGCAGTGAGTACTGAGTTATATTTTTTAGGTATTTGTGTTTAATATCTGTGGTCTCAGCTGCATCTACCAGCCTTATCACAATCAGGGGCCAGGGCCCTGGCATGGCTTTGTTATGGCTCTGTCAAGGCTCTGTCAAGGCTCTGTCATTCATCGTCAGTTTACACGTGCCAGAATCAAGGTCGTACGGGACTACCGTTGCGTCTTCCATAAAAAATTTTTACTCCACGTGCCCATTTGTTGCTGCTCTAGATTCTGTCAGCAATGCCAGACTGTCTTCACTGAAGGTTAACCGCTTAATTCACAGACCCAAATGTAAAAGGTTTGCTTATCAGAGGACGGGATTTTTCTAGAATATCCTTGATCGGGTGCACTCTTTTTGAATTTTATCAATACAAAAAAAATTAGCGCCAGTCCTCAGTCCTTCGCTCGCCGGGCATAGTTGAACTACAAATTCTGAAGCAGTCGGTCTTACGTGCTCTGTGCATTGCTAATCTGTATTGTAAGCTCATCTCTTACATTAGCAAGAAGAAATGTTCGTGAATTGTAGAGAGAAGTAAGGCGCTGAATGGAAAAAATCTCATATCAGATATTCTGCGTCTCCGGCAGATAAGCCCTAGCCAGACGCTGTCCTAGTTCGGTGTACACTGAAAAAAATGAATGTTAAACTCGTCTGAACAGCGACACACTTACCCACAGCACGAGCTGTGAGCGTGCGTTTAACTTATATGCCTACACAAGGGCAAAAAGTGTCTGAAGATCAACCACGATATATTTCAAAGTCTGTGCAATATTTTTATAAATGATAATTCGATTTGTAAGGCTTTGTGATATATCCAAAACAGTAGTCGGTCACTCTATTTAAGGTTCTAGTTTCACTCGTTTGCAATTCAATAATTGTTCATTAATATAATATCATTTTCTGACATTGATGTAACATTTTTCGTAGTTCTTTTACTCCGAAAAAATGCCTGGGTGAGTTGCAATTGCTATTCGAGCAAATCTATATTCAACCTTTACATATGAAAATAAACATCACGAGTAAAATATCATGACTTTGACGAATATGAGTGATGAAAATGAGTGTAAAGAACATAAATTGTAAAATTTCGATGGTGCACAGCCAATATTTTGAAAAATGCTATACTTACTTTAACTCACGTAACATCTCCTTAAGAGACAGAATAATTATACGTGTTCTGCAATACAAATTTATTTTTCACAGTGGTTTCATTTCACGCAAGTCGACATTTTATTTGATCAGAAATTTACTGGTGAAACTTGCCACGTCAATCCTACGCATCCTGCTCGTCTCGACGCTCATCAGGGATGTTCCTTATTCCTTCCCCTCATCCTCACCCGTCACCGGGAGCTTCGACTTCATCGTGGGTGAGTTATACTCATCCTGCCATCGTGGGTGAGTTATACTCATCCTGCCATCGTAGGTGAGTTATACTCATCCTGCCAGCGTGGGTGAGTTATACTCATCCTGCCATCGTGGATGAGTTATACTCATTCTGCCATCGTGGGTGAGTTATACTCATCCTGCCATCGTGGGTGAGTTATACTCATCCTGCCATCGTGGGTGAGTTACTAATGGGGAAAATAATTATTCTGTCAGTCACCAATTGTGCAAGTTCTCCCACTTAAAGTGATGAGAGAGGCCTGCAATTGACATCTTAGGTAGACTTCAAATAGGAGAGACAAAATGTGAAAAAAAAATTTGAGAAAATCATTTTGTCGAACTTTTAAAGATGTTATTTGCAAAAAATGGTGGAAAATAAGTATTTGGTCAAAAAAAAAAGTTCATCTTAATACTTTATCGTATATCCTTTGTTGGCAATGACAGAGGTCAAACGTTTTCTGTAAGTCTTTACAAGGTTGGTACACACTATTGTTGGTATGTTGGCCCATTCCTCCATGCAGATCTCCTCTAGAGCAGTGATGTTTTGGGGCTGTCGGCGGGCAACACGGACTTTCAACTCCCTCCAAAGGTTTTCAATGGGGTTGAGATCGGAAGACTGGCTAGATCACTCCAGGACTGAGAAATGTTTCTTACGAAGCCACTTCTTTGTTGCCCAGGCAGTTTGCTTGGGATCATTGTCACCCAGCCACGTTTCATCTCTATTGCCCTTGTTAATGGAAGGAGGTTTGCATCTAAAATCTCACGATACATGGCCCCATTCATTCTTTCGTCTACACGGACCAGCCGTCCTGGTCCTTTTGCAGATAAACAGCCCCATAGCATGATTTTGCCACTCCCATGCTTTACAGTTGGTACACTGTTAGAAAAATTACCGTTCAACGGTATTACCGGCGTTTCAGTGGCTGGTCGGCACGTCACCGTTTCCGTTCTTATTTTAATTTAACACTAGAAATCCGTAGATCATCTAATAAAAACGGCGAAACAGTTTATTTTCACGGGGCGGCCGGCCACTAGAACGCCAGTGGGACCGTTTTTTTGCCGTTTTTCTAACAGTGCATATGTGGTTCTTTGAGAAGAACTCCGCACTCGCTTCCCTAAAAAAACGAGTTGTGTTTTTACCAAATACTCATACTTTGGTTCCATCTGACCATATGACATTCTCCCAATACTCTCCTGGAACATTCAAATGCTCTCTAGCAAACTTGTTACGTGCCTGGATATGGACTGGCCTTATAACTAAGCAGGGGGACTTGTCTGGCACTGCAAGATCTTACGTTGGTCCCAGCTTTCTGCAGGTCATTCACTAGATCTCCTTTGTGGTTCTGGGATTTTTCCTCACCGTTCTTGTGATCGTTTTGACCCCACGGGCTGAGATATCGCGTGGAGACCCAGATCGAGGGAGATTAGTAGTGGTCTTGTAGGTCTTCCATTTTCTGATTATTGCTCCCACAGTAGATTTCTTCTCACCAAGCTGCTTGCCTCTTGCAGATTCAGTATTCCCAATCTGGTGTATGTCTACAATTCGGCTTCTGATATCCCCCGACAGCTCTTTCGTCTTCACCATAGTGGAGTTTCGAGTGTGACTGTTTGGGGTTGTGGGCAGATGTCTTTTATACTGTTAACGACTTCAAACATGTTCCATTAATACTGGTAATGAATTGGGGATAGTGAAGTCTCTTGAAAAAAAGAAGTTACAGGTCTGTGACAGCCAGAAATCTCGATTGTTTCTGGTGATCAAATACCTATTTTCCATCATCATTTGCAAATAACATTTTTCTAGTCCGACAAATGATTTTCCTAATTTTTCTCCCATTTTGTCTCTCATAGTTAGGTCTACCTATGATGTCAATTGCAGGCCTCTCTCATCATTTAAGTAGGAGAACTTGCAAAATTTGTGATTGACTAAATACTTATTTTCCCCACTGTATACTCACCCGCTATATTTCCACGAATTAAATTATCTACAAGCGATCATGAAATTTAGAGCACATCTCTCATTGGTCTTATTGAAAAATTTAATTCAAGCATACCAAGCTTTCAGCAGTGTTCCGTTTCGCAAAATTGATTGAAATTAAAAGCGATGTTATGCTTGAAAAATTCTCTCTTAAGTAACACGTACAGAACTCCAACAGATGCGGAAATACAATATGTGAATAATTTATTAAGTATATGATACAGGGTGGGGCAGAACCGATTGAACAGTTTTGAGGTGTAATAAAAGAGTAATGGAGGTACATAAATAAATAAAAAAATAAATAGCGGTTTCAGCGTTTATTAGGCCGTAGGCCTGTAGCCGATTCTTAACATCGCAGAACATTCACAGCATTTTGAGGTCTCGAACTCGCAACGCACTGCTACAATTCTGCTGTGCTTAACCGCCCGGCCTCCTTGCCGATTCTGACCAGAAACTGGCGCACAGAGCTGGGATCGAACCCGCGCCTCTCTGCGCCAATCTTGGTACTCTGAACTTTAACCACTGGGCCACCCTGCCCAGAAAGAAGAAAGTTTATTTTCCTCGAGGTTAGTATAACATGCCATTTAGCATGCTAATGTTTTGAAAACAATATCAGGAAGATGGTGGCCGTTAGCTGCAACACACTGTTGGAGTCGTTGTCGGAAGTTTCCTACAGCACGTTCACACTATTGACGAGGTATGGCCATAACCTCTGCAATGATCCGTTCCCTTAGCTGTGGTAGTGTGTGAGGGCGACTTCTAAACACCCTTTCTTTTAGATGTCCCCATAGAAAGAAATCGCAAATGCTCAAATCAGGTGGCCTCGTAGGCCACTGTAAATCACCCCTCGACACCAGACGTCCGGGAAACATGCGTTTCAAAACATTGAGCGACATTCGGGCTGTGTGAGCTGTAGCCCCATCCTAATGGAACCACACGTTTCCCAGTGCTTCATTTTCAACAATGTTTTCCATTCTGGCATGCAAGAAATTTTGCAACATTGCAGCATAGCGTTCGGAATTCACTGTCACGGCTACTCCCTGCTCCGAGAACGACTCCAACAGTGTGTCGCAGCTAACGGCCACGTCCCTTCTCTGATCTCTCTGACATTATTTTCAAAGCATAAGTATTCTAAATGGTATGTTATGCTAACCTCAAAGAAAATTAACTACCTTCTTTGTGTACCTCCATTACTTTTTTATTTTGCCTCAAAACTGCTCAATCGATTCCGCCCCACCCTGTACCAATTCTCCCTGAAGAATTTTATGGCGTTGTAATTTATTATTCTGAAATTCTCTGAGAAGTTCGAGCTTAATTTGCTCCGCATTAGTGATAATTGTTTCTTTTTTCAGTGTCACGACTCTCTACAGTAAAAATTAACTGTCGCGCTCATTATTACTTTCATGAACATACAGTGGGGGGCGGTACGGCGGGCAGCGCGGTGGCCGCGCGGCTCTCCGAGACCGAGGCGACCGTCCTGCTGCTGGAGGCCGGAGGGTCGGCGCCCCCCGAGTCCGTAGTTCCGTTCGCGTGGGCCCCCGTGTTGGCCCTTGGGCAGGCCTCCGTCACTGTCGCCTCCGAGCCAGAAGACAACGCCGCCTTGTCCAGTCCCGGCAGAGTAAGCCATTGTCGCAGTCCGGCGCTTGGCAGGAATAGTGTAGTGTCAGTGAAGGCATTCCTGGAGGCACTCGAATACTTTCTGGTTAATCAATAATTTTCAATTGTATGTTCACTTCAGTAACATGCCTACTGAGTAGCACAAGATTATCTGGCAACTGCCGCAACACGTCACCCCCCTCGTCCAGCGGTCTACCGCTAAGATAAACACACGAGACACTCATTCAGTGACACATTCATTCATAGGCTGAATGCATCAATCAGAAGATGAATGCACAAAATAGAACATGTTACACAAAAATATTACGGCTAAAAAGTAGTGTGGTACGCAATGGTATCTGTTGACCCCGAAGTAGTCTGTACAGTCTATCAAAAAATCGACCAGCACTGCTGCTAATATTAATTCATTTATAGCGACAATACGATTACAAACAAGTACATATAATTTTATGTACTAAAGTGGAACAACAAAGTAAAGTACAATTCGACTTGATTGCCAAACCATAACATATTCTTCAATCAAGTGTTTAACGACCTTGCACATCAGCAGTAACTGTATATATTATTATATCTATATGTTCTAGAGAATATTAAAAGCCGTAATGGGTGTTTTGTACGCCATTGTACGAACGGTGCGTGGAGTTTTAGAAAAAGTGTTTTATTTTAGTTGTCTAAGTTATAATAGTTACTTCAAATCTGCCCTATAAAGTATGAAAATATTCATTTAAAATGCAAAACTCCATGTTGGAGGGATACATAAGCTTTGAAATGCTCAAAGAAATTCATCGGTAACAAAGAGTTGACCTAAAAAGGTTACACGGTCATAAGAAAGGCGAGAGATATTCAATACTGTAGTGCTTGGCAATTAAAAATAATGTGAACGATTTTCCCGGCAGAAAAATATTGCGTACTTCGGGCGAGTGATTGGCGGCGCCTCCACTGTCAACGGCATGGCGTTCGTGCGCGGCAGTGGATACGATTTCGATTCCTGGAAAGATCTGGGCAACGAAGGATGGGATTACCGTTCAGTTTTGCCTTACTTCAAGAAACTTGAGAATTACCAAGCAGAGAGAACGCCAAGTTTAGGTACGTAATTGAGGTATGTTCTTCATGTGTAGAGTCCCGACTGATGGGATATATCCAGTCAAGGGATGGCTGTTGGGGGATTTACTGCATGTGATATGATGTGATAAGACGCTCTTACGAGTTCCTAGATACAGAAGAGATGAAGCAGTTGTTTGTTGCTGTCGTGCGCCCGAATCTAGAGTTGGAAACGTTGTGTGGTCACCAAGATTTGAAAAGGACAAAAAAATTAATAGAGAATGTTCAAAGACGTGCAACAAGGATAATTCCAGGCTTAAAGGGCAATTCCTATGAATAAAGATTGTAGATTATGAAGCTTCCAAGCCTCAGTTATCGACGTCTGCGTGGGGACCTTATTGAAGTATACAAGTATACTCATGGCTTATACAAGATCACTGAAGGATTACTTGAATTTGAAACAAGAACCAACACCAGGGGCCACGGCTATAGACGAAAAAACTGCGCTAGACCTTCTCCACGCGCCAACATTTCTTCTCGCTTCGAATCACCGACATGTGGAACAGCCTCCCCGATTACGTCGTTGGCGCTCCAAGTATGAACGCGTTCAAGAACAGACTAGATAAAGCTATGGAAAAATATATGTTCAGATTTGAAATGCCTAGCACCATATCGAACCCGGTGGAAGTCTAGTAGCTACTTCAAACTATCATCAGTCATGAAAAGATCCGGTCAAATGACACGATTTTAGATCTTCTGTGAACAAGGCACGAAAAGGAAAAAATCGGCGACAGGCCACATCAGGCCTACGCTTCAGCGCCGACATCACTATGTTATGTGATTTGATATGATATGATGTGATATTATGTAATATGATGTGATATGATATGATATGATATGATATGATATGATATGATATGATATGATATGATATGATATGATATGATACGATATGATATGATATGATACATTTTCATCGGCTGCCTATAGAGGCAAAAAGTTATCTTCATATTCACAATGTCAGGAGTCTATTCGACTCTTATTCTTCTATGGCAAGGTTAGCTTCAAAGCAGTTTATCCAAATTGGGAGCTTGTGCTCTATATTATACATTGTTGCGCTGCAAGTGTCAGGCTGGCTGCTTGGAACAAAAAATGGCCTTAAGTTGCACCGAGCAAGCAATTGCTCCAGTTACTTGCAATCGCTGCGGAAATGGACGCGCGTTTAGTCGCTGGGGCTCGCTCATTTGTTATCTATATTGCTGACACACTCAAAGAAATGAATGGGTCATGTACTCCAGTGACATTTTCATTGACGTGGCCCGAGCAGAGAGCGAACGTTACACTGATGAACTTTTTTGCAAGGTCAAAGTGGATCAGTTTGCCACACACATTAGTATTATATGCATCGCACATATTATGTAGACAAAGTCTCACTTATTTCTCTAAGTGTAAGGTCAAGTAAAGATATAGGGTGCTTTTTTAGGTAAAATTTCGAGTTTTATTTGATATGTTCACGTCAATGGGTTATTGATCATTATTATGATGTTATGACTAAATATCGTATACGTAATTGTTCGCATGAACGATCTCAATCTTCTAAACATTGATATTTTCAATTGTTAATTTAATTATTATCTCTTATTTCAAATAAATACGAGAATTTAAACCTTTGTCTTTTACATTTGGCACTTCCATTTCTAATTTTTTCTTGCTTTCGAATGAGAATTGACGTTAGTTTTGCATAATTCATCTTTTTCATTTAACTTATATTTGTTTCCAAGCTGCCTGTGTAGGGGCGAGCATTTTACTCATAACATTTAAATATTTTCATATCATGTTTTACTTTTCCGCCAGAGAAATACCGAGGTTTTGCGGGCCCAGTTTCCGTCTCCCAAGTGCAGCGGTGGGGCAAATTGCGCTCGGCTATCAAGGCCGCAGCTGCCGAACTCGGTGTCGCCTTCAACACTGTGGGCGGCAAATCCAACATCGGTCAGTGAAGCACCGGTGAAACCAATTACTCTGCATCAGAGTCAATTAACTCATTATTTATAACTAGTCTGACTTATAGATTCCAGAACTTTAATCTAGAACATAATTTGGTTGACGTCTAGGCTTTTTCCTTGAAGCCGGTATAGTCGGCTTGAGTTATTCTGGGTCTACTTGGCCACCCGATCAAAATCGGCTTCTGTGCAGAATTTCATTTCATACTTTATAGTGTCCATCAAGAGTATGATAACTGCATGTTCTGAGAGAATGATAAGTGTTTCCCGAGAGTATGCCGAGTGTGTCCTGAGAGTATGACAAGTGTATATCCTGAGTGTTACTCTCCTAAAGTAATCAGCTTATAGTTCGGGAGCTTTGCCACGCGCGAATTGACAAAGGTGGAATGAAGTTCAGACTTGATTCGTGTTTCCTTATATTTAGGCGTCGAAACCTGCACGTACAGGATTTTATTAAAGTACGGTACATACAAAACACTGAGATCATGATTAGTTTAAGGGGAACGTTTGGGTCAAAAAATCTATAAATTTATCTTTTCCGTTTTCTTGGCTCATTTTGTAGCTGCTGAAAATGCGAGTCTAACGCAGCAAACCGCATGAATGTGCGTGCTCTAGTTTTTGCGTAAAGCAATTTCAAAAATATTTAAAATGCACATTTTTTTAACAGTATGTTCAAAGATTTCTTCAAATTAAATCTGGATTTATTAATAATTGTTCTCGTTAATTGCAAAGTGTTTGCACTCGTTTGAAAGCTACAAACATGACGCCTTCAACAAAGCTAACACCAGGAGATATAAATGAAATAATTTTTGCGTAAGGTGGCTCTGAACTTTTATAAATTACCATTTTGTAACAATATTCACAAATTTTCCTTTAAAAATTGTATATATAGAGCATTGTTCTCGTTAGTTGCAAAGTGTTTGCACTCGTTTGAAAGCTACAAACGATGCACGCTCAAAAAAGCAAATACCACGGATGTATATTGTACATGCAATGTTTTTTGCGTTAGGCCGTTTGAACTTATATAAAATGAAAATTTTTTTATATACGAAAATCTAAAAAATGTCATATTAGTAGCATATTTTTCATGTTAAACTGGATAAGATTAAGGCTAGAGACGCGTGCTGGTACCCTGTAAATATAACTAATTGGCAATGTGATAGCTTGGAATTCAATATAAAGCAATTTTTTGACGTAATCTTCTTTTTTCAATAAATTCTACTTATTTGGCTCCCATAAACAATTAAAATTTCCAAATTACGCCAGCTTAAAAATTAAACTCCCAATATGATATTCAAGCTACAGCATTGAAAGATATACCATTTGATTCGTAAAAAATGTCTAACTTACGGTAGGGAAAATCCTCCGATTTAGAGTATTTATATTTGTTATGGAAAATACTTCGCGCATTTAATATTATAGTTGCTCTAAAGTTTATAGTTACTCTCTTGAGCTCCTCGGTCAACGATATATTAACATTATTTTTACACGTGAACGTGCCACTGAGAGTATGACAAGGGTTGGCCTATATTCGAGTCATCCCAAGCTTGCAAGCTGCACAGAAGCTGCACCTCAAGCTCGGCCGAGGCGGGCATTGGCAGTTGATTTACGTGCTCCCCGAGTGCGGGGCGGCACCTGTTGCTGAGTCCGGCCCGCATCCAAACTTTGTTAGGAAATGATCGTTGCTCCTATTATAACAAGCGCATCGATTAAAAAAAATTCCTACACTAAATATGATGTCTCATTCACCTATACTAAACTAAATTACCCTGCCATATTACCACCTTTCAACTATTTTTGCTGCAAGATTATCTTTTATACGTCCAGGCATCTCGTGGGCTGATCTCGCGGTCAAGAACGGAGTTCGCTCGTCGGCGTCGGAGTCTTACTTGCGACCTGCAGCAACGCGCAGCAACCTGCGCGTCCTGACACGAGCTACAGTCACCCGGGTGAGTGGGCAACCAAACCTCCCCTAACCTAACATAACTGAGCCTAACCTAACCATAATCCGCAACAAACTCCTGTGTACAACCCAACAAAGCCCTGATGGGTTCCCTCCCCTCCGTTTCGACCCCAAAACATCCACCAAACAGCAACAACCAACCTTATGCGCGCATTGCCTTCTGCATCTGCGATTTTTATTATCATTTTTTTAGTACTGTTGTTATTTCTATCTACTGGTGGAACGTATACTTTGACGTCTTGTAATTGAGCGGAAATTCATTTCACTTTCGTGCACTTATTTTCACAAGCCCATTTGTTACAGATCATCTTTGACGAGCAGAAGAAAGCACGCGGAGTCGAATACACTTTCAACGGGCAGGTATGTCATCGACTCGATCATTAATAAACACAATTTAATAAATTATTGGCGCATACTATCAACGTATGATCTTTCAATACTTTTAATCAAATGGAACAACTACTTACACAGTAAAAAATTGAACATTTTGATCAACATTACTTCCAAGCGAGGTTTCCGGACTTTGAATGACTACTTACGTAAGTTCAGTGCGGGATTGTTCATAACATGTGAAAAAGAGAATGTTTCATACGGTTTTAGTGGAGAAACTTTGACCGCCTCAGGAACTTGTTAGTCGGAATGTTGTTACCGCTAATGTGGTCTCGGGGCCCGCACAGTCCCACAAGGTCGTGGCCACGAAGTAAGTGGTGCTGTGTTCTTTGTAATGTAACGTAATGTAATGTAATGTATTGTAACGTAATATAATTTATTGTAATGTGGTCCCGTGGTCCCTACAGACCCACAGAGTCGTGGCCACGAAGTAGGTGGTGCTGTGTTCTTTGTAATGTAACGTAAGTTAATGTATTGTATTGTAACGTAATGTAATTTATTGTAATGTTTTACCGTTATCCCTACAGACCCACAGAGTCGTGGCCACGAAGGAGGTGGTGCTAAGCGCCGGGGCGCTGTTCACCCCCCAGCTTCTCATGCTGTCGGGGGTTGGGCCCCCCCAAATGTTGACAGAGAGAGGGGTGAGTGAACTGCATTGCTGGGGTTAATGTTTGGTGAATGGAAGGGGTGAGTGAACTGCATTGCTGGGGTTAATGTTTGGTCAATGGAAAGGGTGAGTGAACTGCATTGCTGGGGTTAATGTTTGGTGAATGGAAGGGGTGAGTGAACTGCATTGCTGGGGTTAATGTTTGGTCAATGGAAAGGGTGAGTGAACTGCATTGCTGGGGTTAATGTTTGGTGAAAGGAAGGGGTGAGTAAACTGCATTACAAGGGTTAATGATTGGTGAATGGAAGGGGTCAGTAAACTGAATTGCTATGGTTATGATTCATGAATGGGAAAGGTGAGTCAGCAGCCTTAGAAGGTTTAATTATAATTGTATAAAGTGCGAGTCGGTAAGATTATTGAATTGTGTTTTTTGGCTTCGCTGGGCAGATCGAAGTGGTTTCGGCGCTGCCTGGCGTGGGCCAAAACCTTGACAACCACCCGGGATTTGTGATGCACTGGCGGGTGAAACCTGGTGTCACAATATCTATTAAAGATATTTTCAACCCGAAAACTTACATCGAATACAATTCAAAAAGAAGCGGTGGGTGGCAATTTTTTGCTGATTTACACGAGTTCGCACAGAACTATGCAAACAATATTTTTTAGTTTTTCCAACAATTTTTAGAGTGAGAACATTTTTAACCCCAGTAGAAAATTGTTCATTTAATTCATCTTTCGATTTAATTTATAATAGGAATGGAGTTTTTGTTGAAAAATGCCTTAAATCTATTTCTAAAATGTCAAAGTTGTAGTCCGCAGGAGAGTTGGAGAAGTGTCGAATCGGTATGAGAGAGTTTAAACAATTAAGTCAAAAAACTACAATCAAAAAGTCTTTGAGCACTTTGAAAATTGTTGGGCCGTCTGTTCTTCGGATTTTTTTATCTGGATTTACTTACCAGTTTCCAATGATGTCAGGCGACGTTCATACAAAAAATTTCCAGACTTCGTTTCGTTGCTAGAGCGCTAAACATCAAGTTAAAAAGAAAATTATCTTACTGGCCACTTTGATCCGCCTAATTATTATAAATTCCTATTATGTGCGTTTGTGATTTGAATACAAAAGATTGAATATAAATAAGAAACGTAAGAAGGTGAAGCGTAGTGCTTGGCTACGTTAAAAAGAATTGTTGGTTTAGTTAGTTAAATCCTGTAGTCATGTACGTACTCGCAGGTTGTTTATAGTTTCTCCTCGTATCTTCACATAGTTTGTCAAGAACAGAAAACCTAGAATGAATTCTCTGATAGGATAACTTCACTATTTTGAAATGAAGGTTATATCATGCTTTATAACATAATTTGTATATAGAAGAACACAAACGAATTCGGAAATTTTATCAAATCCACAGGGATGTCGGGAAGTGTGATTACAAACATCAATTTATATGAGTTTATATGATTAAAAGAGCTAAAAAGTTTCGGCTTAATTGTAGCACACGCGAGTAATATTTTAACTTACATTATTTAGCTTCTAAGTGGAATAATTATAATGATTGCTGAAATGACAGCTTGACTAGTTAATTATCTTTCACGAGCAAAAATATTATATTACTATCATGTATGTGAAGGTAATCATGATACTCCTCCTGTCAAAAATATTATTTTTCTATTATAAGATAGCATATATACATTTTTACTGATTTTTATTTAGAGTTATTTTATATCAGTAATAAGGAACTTGCTTGTGATAGAAATCTGCTACTATAAGTCACAAGATCACTTACATAAAACTAGAAATGAGTATTCAAATAGACTGAATTCAGATTTTATATTTGCGTCCCATTCCTAAAATAGGCAAACAAGCTATAGGAACACAAAATGTAACATAGCTTTTTCGTGGCTATCTTTTCTGGTGTCTTCTTTGTGTTTAATGTGAGCTTGTTTAGTTTTGAAGCTTTTAAACGTATCACCTTTTTTACTTCAGGTGTATTGTCAGGTCCATTTGGCACAATAGCTCATAATTTTGTGAATCTGGGAGGAGGAAACCCAGACTGGCCTGACCTCAACCTTCCCTGGACTTTGAGACCCAGCGTCCCGACACCAAATATTGACAAAAAGGTGAAAAATTCTACAATTAACTTCTTTGCTTGGCTCTAATGTTTTTTTTGTCCATATGTTTCTATGGCCTTAATATTTCCTTGATTAAAATTAGGACAATAAAGCATACAATCCGAATCTGAATAAAACCTATTTCTTCTAGAGTGGACGTCATATAATTAGAGCTGGGCAGCGCTACTTTGAAATGTAGCTGCGCTACCGCTACCTCTGCTTGCTCTAAATGTAGCGGGCGCTACCGCTACACCCTCTAGATTGTAGCGAGCGCTACCGCTACAGTAAAATGTAGCCGCTGCAAAGGCCAAAATTATTGGAAATCTCTAAATATTTATTGTTTTCCTATTGGGATTTACTCATAAACATTTAATTATTATAAAACATTTTCAAAACATATCAATGCAACTTTATTGCAATTAACCTAACCGAACTAGTACGGGTTAGATACAGTAAATAAAAGTTACAGTTATTTTTATGTTTTACCTTCCTTACATGGATGTCTACTTTAATCTACCAATCTCAAAAATGATCCACATATACATATAAAAAATCAGTCTTTTATTTGTATATATATGTGGATTCATTTTGAGATTGGTAGATTAAAGTAGACATCCATGTAGGGAAGGTGAAACGTAAAAATAACTGAGTAAAAATGACTGTAAGCAAACTGAAACATGATAAAAATACCTGTAAGTGGTAACTGGTAACAACTTAACAAGAAACAACTAACATGTTGACACTAGCTAGTAACAGGCTGAGGTTGACAACATTACACCGAAATCTTTCGTTCAGTTTTAGTCTGTAATTTATATTATGTATGTATCATGCTGGATTTTAAATAATATTTAATAATATTAAGTAAAATCTAAAGGCTTTATCTATAAATGTAAACCTCGTATCGCTACTTAAATATGTAGCAGGCGCTACCGCTACCGCTACATTGCCTTATATGTAGCGCCGCTACCGCTCCTGAAAATGTAGCGGCCGCTAGTAGCGGCCGCTACATGTAGCGCGCTACTGCCCACCTCTGCGATATAATATACTCTTAGATGCGCTGTTATGAGTATATTAGTATCCCTTCTGAATCTTTGAAGTCTGTGTTTATCAAGAATTAAAAAATGTCATGATGTCTTGCGCCGGCTGTGGCTGCAGGCGGACGTGTGCTACTGAACTCCGTTTAAGAAATTCCTCGATCACTGCGAACTTCGGCCCATATCGCAATATAACTCACGAATGGAGACGAAATATGGAAAAAAAAACACAAGCTGGAAACAAGGGTGGAAAAAAAATTTCACAAGCTAAACAACACCGTTAGGCCCTAATGAATACGTGTACCAAGCTTCATCAAGTTTCGTTTATTAGTTTGGGAGATGTTCCTTGATCATTGAATTTGGAAATTGGCTGTGAGACCGGCCGCGAGTCCGACCGTAAATTTGTCCGTGACGTAAACCCAGGAGATGTTTAAAAAAACTGATATGGGTGGAAAAACCCATCGCTGGGGGTCATGTGCTGCATGTGTTAGGTACAAATCGTCAAACCTGCCAAACAAGGTTGATAAGTTACTTCACATTTGTCGCTCGCACTCACTAGATGTCGTCTTCTTTACCGAGACCTGGCACGACGCTAACTCGTTTGCATCGCACGTCTTCGCGCTGAAGGACTCAAGGTAGTCGAGCGCGCGCGGCTCCGCATGCAACCCGACGCCCTGGCGACGAATTACGGTGGAGAGCAACCGCCGCCAGCGGGGGCGTGCACCTTGCCGTTCTTGACATCGGCGCCCGACCCACCACTTTTGAGCAGCTATGTGCTGGGGTCACCTGTGCCTCGTTTACGGGTGTTGCAGTCACCATCTACCGTCCTGGATCGGTTGCAGTGTCGCTCGATTTTTTTCGTCGAATTGAGCGATGTCTTTACCAGACTTGTGACTTTGCCTGATCATGTCCTTATCACCTGCGATTTTAACGTTCGACTGTATGAACGACCTTCTGACCGCCTTTGGCATGGTTTGTCACGTGACCTTGCCGAAGCACGACATGGGCGGACTGCTGGACGTCGGTATCACGCGTGCTGACTTTCAAAGTCTGCCAGTCGACATCATCGGTGATAGCAATATACGACCATCGATTCCTCCGGTGGACAGTACCATGTGTGCGCCCGGTGCCAGCGAGCAAGACCGTTACTTGTTGTCCGTGGCGCGGTTTCGACGGCGATGTCTTACGCGAAGGCCGCAGTATTCCCGACTATGGCGGCCTGACTCGTGGTTGGCACTATTAGTCAACGATCTCGTGCAACTCTACAACAAAGTGCTGACCTGTAAACTCGATGACCTCATTCCTGCACGCACAGTTCGGATACCCCAACGGGTCTCCGACCCATGGTTCGACGATGAATGTCGAGTCTCAGAGCGGGGGATTCGAGTGCTCCAGCGGGCTGTATACCGGGCGAACAGACGCGGCAATCCTGCTGTTGCCGCTGCTGTGGCCTCAACCTGGCGAGATGCGTGGCTCAATTATCTAGACCTTCGTTCTAAAAGTCATTTTGGCGTCAGAGAATCAACGCGCAACACAGTGACCTGTGAGTCCACAACGCGTTCGCTGCATAAACTCACAGGGAGAGGTCCTTCAGAGGCTTCGGGTGACGTAAGCGTGGATGAATTCAATGCGATTTTTGGATACAAAATTTCTGCTGTGCGAGCGTCGTCGGCCAAGGCTCTGCCGGCAGCATTTGCCCCGTACCCGTTCGACTGCGTGCACCAAGAATTCACTCGAGTCACAGCAGACGACGTCATCGCTGCAGTGTGCGCGCTGCCTAACAAGCAGTGTGCCAGCGATCCTCTGCTGACGTCGTTACGGGGAATGTTATAACCCTAGCACCTTTTCTGGTTGAACTTTCCAACCACTGCCCCACTGACGGTGTTGTTCCGATGAACTTCTAATCAGCTTACATTACGCCTCTATTAAAAACCAGACCTTGACGTTTCCGATCCTAAATCATATCGACCCATCTCCAACCTGCCGATTTTGTCGAAACTCCTGGAACGCGTGGTGGCGCGACAGCTAAACAACCATCTTCAGCAGTCTGGTCTCATGCCTCGCCTCCAGTCTGCATACCGTCATCTCCACTCGACAGGAACCGCTATGCTGAAGGTTCTATCAGACATTCGGCGCGCAGTAGATGGCGGCACTAACTTTACTCAACCTGTACTTTGAAAGTGTAAAGTGTACAAGCCCTGTTACGTACTAGTAAAGTGTACTTTGGTCTGTTACTCAACCTGTACCTGTACACTTTACTTTGATACGGTCGAACACGCCACTTTATTGCGTCGACTTGACGTATCATTAGGCATGCGCTACACAGTGCTGCTGTGGTTCGAGTCCTATCTCGGCAATAGATTCAATGCATTCGACTCGGGAACTCTTCTTCTACGCCATCGTTGGTCATTTGCGGCGTACCACCACAGGGGTTAGTTCTTGGCCCTATCATCTTCCTGTTATAAACTGTCGACGTATTGCATATAATCGATTCACATAGTTTGAATCCGCATAGTTCGCCAGCGACATCCAAATTTATGGCTACGGTGCACCGCGGCTGACGCCGCAGCGTTGCAGGATCGAATGTCTGCCTGTATGGACTAACCGACGCCAGCTCATTGCATTATTTTAACAGACTTTATTTGGTTTGCGACTGCTCAGCGCCAGCATCATTTTCCGGCCAACCCTGTTTGCGTGGGCAACGAGTTCGTCATGCCTGCGTTCGCAGTTCGCAATCTTGGCATTCTGCTGGACTCGGAACTTTCAATGAACATGCACATGGCCAATGTCACCACCGGTTGCTCTGGCGCTCTGCGACGAATACGTAGCATCAGCCGCTGTCTTTCGAGGCCGGTCCTTCAGGCCCATGTGGTGGCGCTCGTTCTGACCAGATTGGATTATGTAATGCTACACTTTATGGACTGCCGACCACGGCACTTGATAAAATGCAATCCGTAATGCACGCTGCTGCTCGACTCGTGTGCAATACGCGGAAATTCGACCACGTGACGCCGATATTGCGCGATCTTCGGTGGCTGCGCATTCAGCAGCGCACGCAGTTCAAAGTCGCTGTTCTGACGTTCCGATGCCTTCACGGTCTGGCGCCTCCTTATCTCATGGAAGGTCTGCAACGCATGTCGGACTGGCCTTCTAGAAGACAATTGCACTCGTCATCAACAGCGGACCTCGTCGTACTATGTACACGTCTGTCTACCGTCGGCGATAGAGCGTTATCGGTCGCCGCCGCCAGAACCTGGAACAATCTGCCCGCTTCCGTAACTTCGGCTCCTTCTTAGCAGGTGTTTCAACGACGCCTAAAGACGGAACTATTTCGTAGAGCGTATAAATCTAGTGCTAAGTCATTTTATCCGTTACCATCCTTTCTTGTGTCTATTTATTTTCCTCTTGCTATTAATCTTGTGTGTGACGTGCCCTCGAAGTTTGTTTGAACCTGACGCCACGACAAATGCTTCGTAGAATAACAATGATAATAAAAGCATAGATGACGCTAAGTAAATTCCCAATATCGTCATTGAATTTTCTTGATGTATTTTTTTGCTCTTAACGTTTTGGTGAAGTTTCGATTTTAGCAAACTAATGGTATGTGTCCATATGACAATGCCAACAGACGAACGTCCAATTGATCGGACTGCCAGTGCTGCATGACACTCTCACCACACGCGTTGTTCTGATGCGGCCCCGCAGTCGCGGATTGGTCAGTCTCAGGTCCGCTGATGTGGCCGATCCTCCGCTGATAAGAAACAACTTTTTTCAGGATCCGTACGATCTTAAATTGATGGTCAAAGGTGCGTACTTTCTGTAGATGAAAGTGGCAACTTGCGGTCATATATAGTTTGAGTATGGCAACCTCATAATGAGATTAACGAGTTGTTGCCTTAGGTCCAAGTACCTAATTTTACAGTTAGTATTTGGTGAATAAAAATTGCGTTATTTTATTCAGCCGTGATTTAATGTCAAAACCCAGCTCATCTGAATTATCGATAATTGAGAAGATATTACAGTAATTACTTGCACAGCTCATTAATGTTTCAATTAAAACTCGATGCACTCTCCTTAACATTACCGCAGGCATACGAGAGACCTTCCGAGTGATGAATACCAGCGCCATGCGAGAAATTTTGCTTCCCCAGCCTGACACGGTGAGTTCATGGCTAATTAATTAAAACTAATGTCAATGTGACTGACTATAATTTTGTTCAACATGTTCATTTCGATCATTTTGTTCGTAGTCCAACAGAAGCAAAAGAATTTCAAAAATTTTTAGAGTAAAAAATTTTCTTTTAGTGTATTGAAAACTGACAACAAACACATGATACCGCAATGTTTGCCTTCTAGGTACTAAATGTCGCAATGAAATAATAATAACGATGATAATATGTTCGAAGCTTTGCAGACTTATGTTTCGGTACAATTAATTTCATTTTAATTTGGTAATGCAACGAAAAACGAAGAAGCGACGAGACATAAAAAAAGCTATAAACTAAAAAAACAGCGTTGGAACACATCCATGCGACAACATTTCTTCTCGCTTCGAGTCACCGACATGTGGAACAGCCTCCCTGATAGCATCGTTGAAGCTCCAATTATGAACATCTTCAAAAACAGACTGGACGAAGCTATGCAGGAGCATATGTTCAGTCTTAAAATGCCTAGCAAATTACGGAGCAGGCAATAAGTCCAGCAGCTATCTCAATCAATCGTCAGTTATGGAAAGATCGGGTTCCAAAGGCCGGATCCCTTGTGAATCAAGTCACGAAAAGTTCAAGAATCGGCAACAGGCCATGGGCCTATTTCTTCAACGCCGACACTTCTATTCTTTTCTATACGAATGAAGGAACAGCAACTCAACGAACCCAATTTTCGTGCCGGGATACATACATACAAACGCTGGCTCATGGCACGAATTTTTGAGTCGAACAAGAAAGTCTTGATATATAATTCATTTTCTTTTAATGAACAATCTGGTGGTATTTAGACTGAAGCAGGAGGGAAATATGAAGGTAAAATGTTAAGGGATTATTGGTCAGCGCGTTTCACTTCAAAGAATGAAAATACATTTCAGAGTGAACTCACAATACTTATAAGCTTCTAATCATTGTGATAAATAATGTAATTAATTCGAATACGTTTGAGTGCAGAGTCTTAAAGCTTGCCTGCGGTACGGCCGAGACACGGACGGCTATTGGGAGTGCTTCGTTCGACACGTCGTGGGGCAGGACGCCCACCATTGCTGCACCGCTAAGATGAGCCCCCCCACCGACCCCATGGGGGTGGTGTCCCCCAGACTCCTGTGGGTAAAATATTAACGGTTCAATAACGGTTTGATTTTATATTTATATAGGAATGGACTCACTCTGACTGCCAAGGGCCGAATGACCTTCTCGATCTGACTGAGGATGGAAAGACTGACTCACCTTGACTGCCCGGGAGCGACTGGCACAACCTTTGTGCGAAGTAAAAGGGTTTATACACTCGCAGTAAAGTAGCCTTATTCATAAACTTGTAAGAAATTAACCCTGCCATTATACTCGCCATGAGTTAATATTGTCCTTATAATTGTCTTCAGTTAACCCTGTCCATTTAATTGCCTCACTTAAATCGATGGCGCAGCCGTAGGCCACAAATTCTACTCTTAAATAAGCCCTGGAGCCAACGCCCAGCTTCACCATGCATTAACTTTACTCAGCCTCAGAACTAGAAGCTGTAGACTACGCTCGAACTCCGTAATCCAGACAAGCGATACACTGCCGAAAGACAATAGCGCCGTAGGTCTTCAACCAATGCTTAGCATGCTCGCTCATAAGCAGGCAGTTCCTCATCCGGCTGTACCTACTCCGGCCTAACATCGTCTGGCCTAACCTATTCACGCTGTCCTGGCTCACAACCTTCTTGCAACCAATGACTGGCTCTTCCAGCACACTTGGTCCGCCTCACTAACTTCCTGCAGCCCATTAGGTTTGGTTAGGTCCGCTCAGGTTGGGTGGTGACATTTTGCAGCTTGTGTAGGTTAGGCCTGAAGAGGTTAGGCCGAAAGAGGTTTGGCCAGATGTAGTATGGCCATGCTTACCTTTAGCAAGCTTATTTCGTGACTTTGGACAAATAGCGCTATGACGTTGAACACTTGACTTCATTGGCTGTTATGCTCTCTAGCGTTCTTACGCACGGAAAGAAATATGAACTAAGTGTGAAGTTTGGCATAGCTGGCCTCTGGCATGCGCTTACTTAAATCTATCATATATTCGTCCCCCAGAGTTCGTGGGGTGTCTGGCTTGCGGGTTGTCGACGCGTCAGTGATGCCTCACGTGGTCTCAGCGAACACTATGGCTTCTACGTACATGGTTGCTGAGAAAGCTTCCGACATGATAAAGCAAGATTGGGGATACCCGGTCCAGCAACTGTATTAAGCAAGATTGGGGCTACCCGGTCCAGCAATTGTAATAAGTAGGGGCGAACCGTTGTAGACCAACAAAAGAAGGGAAGATGAATATACCAGCAATGGTGGCCGAGAACTACACTGGACGGTTCCGCGTACGCTGCTAAAAAACGTTGAAAATTTTGATGTACGATTATAGCATCTATTCACGATGACTCTTAAGTTTCAAGTTTAGTTCAATACCGAACGGTTTCTATATCTTCATTTTCCTTACATGTTTCGTGACATTTATCAGTCAAAATCAATAAAAAATTTTAAGTTGTGTCAATTAAATGACAATTCACTCTATCATTATCCATGGGCCTATTTCTTCAATGCCGACACTTCTATTTTATGCTATTCTATTACACATTGATTGCGTTATACCAATCATCTGTCATGTAGATTATAATTTTTATCAGATAATCCTTTTTCTTGGGTAATTAATTGTGTTAAAGATTGTTTTTTTAAATTGAATTTAAACAAGAAATGTGGTTTCAATTACCCTCAGCAGGCATTAGGCAACGGGAGTGGGGGACTTGAGCTCATTGGGGGAAAGGGCAGGGTTACTCTGTTTACATTGCTAAACAGCTGACCGAGTTGACTGGCAGTGTAGTAAGTAAATGTCCCCGAGCGTGGTGTGAGGGTTGCGCGCTGCTCCATTTACCTAGCCATTTGCTCCTCTGTCACTTGTGTCCTCGCCCACTTTAAACTATGAATGATTGGAACGTGTTAGCCTTTAAGTTTAACACCAACCAGTCAGTAAGGGGGCAGTCCCTCTTCACGCCAAGTCGCCAACGGATTTATGGCCGCGAAGGATACTGCACTTGCCACTTGTAACATGCCATGGCATGGTCAGAGTCAGAGGCTCAGAGCCTGCTTCCAAAACAAATGGTTAATCTCCGATTCAACTGTTACAACAGTGTTGAGTGACGAAACAATTTTTTGTTAACAAATATCTACAAAATAGATGTTGATTCAGAAATGCTGCTATGTTATCATTCGGAATTTCGGGCCTCTGACAAATGCCAATTACCAAAATACCAATCGTCTCATTTATTCATCTGAATTGTGAATGATCTGACCAACTTCCAAGTGACCATCATTTCATAGGCTACATAATTAATGATAAATTTACATAGATAACAATCATCCCAAAGTTTCAATGCAGAGATTCCTATTAAAGGATAATAAATCAATTTATAATTGTTTAATCCCTTTTATAGATATAAATGAACATCATTCAATTTATTTTAAAAGCGTTTCATGGAAGTGCATTAAAATATTTCTTTTGAAATCAACCAAGTCAAAGTAACACATTAAATCATTTAAATTTTAGGCTTCCAAAAATATTTCAAACCTCTATCATAAATAACATGCTTAAGGGTTGACTTATAATCTGGCCAAAATTTTTGGATTTTGGCTTCTCCGGTTTTTATTCTCATCTTAAAGCTGACATTCTGACCTATCCAATGACCAATGGTACCAGAACCATCTCTGTACGTTGATTTATGCATTTGCAACAGATCCTGTAAGGGGGGAAGTGTCTGGGCCGCTTCAGTAAAGTTAAGGCGGAAATTACACGGCCAGGCACCATAAACGGGATTGTCTGATATAAAGCGGCCAATTATGACATTCTCCAGTTCTTATACTCATCTTAAAGCAGCTTTTATGATGCATTCAATGGTACAAAATCATCTCCGTACATTGATTTATGCGTTCACGACAGATCCCGCAAGGGTGGGGGAATTCTTTAGCAAATAAGATAGGGGGAAATTAGCTGCCAAGCACTATATATAAAGTGTCTTCTTGAGCTGCAGCTCAGTTACCCGCCTGACGTTGTATGGTGTGGTGTGCGTGCAGTTGCTCCCACCAACTTTGACTGGAATCAAGCTCCAGTAAAATTTAGTTTTGTATCCTTGCTACATTGAGTAGCTATTCCAATGGGCGCGGGACTTTGTCGCGCTTTCCTGAAAAGGTTACGGTACTGATTCTCATGGCAAACTTATCCTATATCCCAAACCTATCCAAACCTACGGTGATGAGACATATAGGTACCATTTGATTCTCAATGAAAATATCTATCAATTTATCTTGGCATTCTTCCCAATTTTCCTATAGTTTTGAAAATATTTGAAAAGAGAGGGCTCGGGGAAATTGAGGAAAATTGAAAAAATTTTGAACATTTTGCAAAAAATGCTCCCCCATCCACAAAAATTTGAATTTCAAAAAATGCAAAGATAAATAGAATATGGTTTTTATGCATCTAATGATGTGTGTTTCAATGTTGTAGCTTGAAAATCGTAGGAGGAGATAGATTTCTACAGTACCCCCTTTTTCTTGTCATTTTCTAAGAATTTCACATTTTCTTTCATTTTTTCAAAAAATGTACTTGAATAAAAGCTGTCAATTTTTCAGTTTTACAATGGTGTACCATGTTTCAAAGTGATCCATCTGTAAGCAACGGGGAAAAATTAGAGGCAAGGCACTCCCCTTAATCATTATCTTGCACTGAATACCTATACAAATGATAGTCAGATACTGTCAACCATGATCATTCTAGTAGATTAAGGTATGCACCAGAAATGAAGCTATATTAGTTGCACACAGGCTTTTGTCATGATATGTAGCCCTGCTTCCCTGAATTGTGTGTTTAGTGTGCATCATGAAAAACATTGCTTGGTAGCGTGAGTTGTAATTACTTAATGAAGTTTAGTTCATAAGTCTAAATTTAATTGTTGAGTGCAAGCTGCATTCATGCAATTTTCAAGCGATTACCTACTTCACAGAAATGTAACATACCCATATGTGTTTTAAGCCATTGAGAAGTTCATTTTTTTGCCTCAAATAACGTTGTTAGATTGAGAAGTTGGTTGTGGTTGATCAAAACTAATATATGAACCATTATTTTTAGAATTCCATCCTGCCAGATATCTTTAGATCACTCTCTGCACCCTGCCAGACATATCTGCTAATCTTCCCCTGGTCTCAGATATTAGTTAATATCTTAGAATATGCAAAGAAAGTGAATAAATAGCCATTGACTAGATAACTCTTCATGGTTCATCTTTCATTTTAATTGCTCCAAATCTTGGATGTCAGTGCCACCAAAGTTTCAACAGCATTTAAGTTTGCCAACCTTCAATAAAAATTCTCACTTAATGTTGCAAACTTATTGCTAGATAAGTTAAAACAAATGGCAATATTTCAGATTCAATAAAAAATATATACCTATGTCATGTTTACAGTATTTCATTATAAAAAAAGTTCAATTTCACTCAAAATACATGCTTTAGGAGCCTCATGATTTTAGTAAAAAATTATTCATTATTTCAATCCTGTGGACTAGGTATTTAGCCAAATTTTTCTTAAAATTGTTAGGTGTTGACAACTAATGAATGTTTCAATAAATTGTTTATGAAAAATTATTCTAACCTTCAACTGGAACTTGGACCTTGAGTTTATCCAATTTTCATAGGTTAAGAAGTTAACAGTATACATTAGGTTAATTTTTAAGCAATGAATACATGTTCCAAGCCATGTTAAGAAATTTCAGAGATAAACACATTTGCCAAGCCATGCAAGTGTGGAAAATACTTATGGGAAAATACATATGGGATGATATGTAAAATTTTCAGATTTACCCCTAAATATGACATGAAATAATCTTTCTCAAATTTAGTTAAAATTGAATTCTTGATGAATTATGATTTTGACTTATGGCATGCCAGTAGCCAACCTGACTGCCACTATGAGTTTACTACATTTCTTGTGCAAGCCTTTTGACAGTTCTAAAGCGACTGAACCACCGAATTTCAAATTTAATTGTACTTTAATTTGTTTTTATTTAATTATATATAAAGGTCCAAGACCTAAGACTTCAAATCACTGTAAATTTGAGAACCTATATTTTGTATACCAATTCCAGCATAACAAAAATACTTTAAGGTGTAATATCAGAGATGCCCTCAGGTAGCCCTAACATAATGATGTCCAAACCTGTAGCACTTAGTCTTCATAACATACTGTACCTGAGACAAAGTTATATTTTAAATTTTTACCTAAGTTATATATTCATCATATTGCACATATATACCATAAAATAGGGGGACTGGGACCATTCATAATGCTTGCCTTTTTATGATACAAATAACCACAAAGTAAATGTGTAAAATATATCTCTTTATTGCATTTGTTGGTTATTGCCTGGAAGGTACTTCAAGAGTCATCAACACAATTTTTCTTAGGCAAAAACTTTTTGAGTGTAGGGTTTTTTTTTGTAAATATCATAATTTCCCAAATCACCCCATCAATGGCCAAGTCACCCCATCAATGGCCAAGTCACCCCATCAATGGCCAAGTCACCCCATCAATGGCCAAGTCACCCCATCAATGGCCAAGTCACCCCATCAATGGTC